TTTTTTTTTTCGATAAGTCAAAACCTACAGGGAAAAGTTTCAAAAAAATATAATTTTTGATTTTTGACCAATAATCTTCAAAATTTTAAAAGTTCAAAAAATCCGAGATAACTAGCAGCTTGGCAGCCCTTTGTAATAGGAGTCTCTCATGCAAATAAATTGGATCTAGCTTAAAAAGTAGGCTTTTGAGAACGATTGCCGTAGTTCAATATTTTGCATCAAAATCGGCCAAACATGACGTCACTCAGAGGCCTGTTTCACTAAAAACTTGTATTTACAAGTGTTTGTAGTTTACAATTCATAAGTATTTTTACCAACTACGTAAAAACCGATTTCACTAAGCTTCATCGCCAGTGGCACCTCCGATAAGAAATTGTTTGCAAATAAACTTGTAAACAGTAAAAATGTTTTTAATCAAGAAGTATAGCATGTTAAAGATGTTGCTTCTTTGTATCAAATATTGTCTAGTATTCATGTCAAAAGCTGCCTAATTAAATTATAAATAATGATGCTGTTGGAAAAAGATAAAAATGATAGTTCACATTGTCCTATTATTGAAAGAAAATAACACGAAAAACATTTGACAGCAGAAGACTGTTGAATGCAATTATGGCGCGCGAATGACAAAACATGACGATATTTTAATACCGATTATTTTGCTTCTTAGGGTGTGTGCTAAGTAAAAATTGAGCATGAAACGTCTCAACAAAGCATAGTTGTTCTAAATATATGACTGTTTTGCATTATTGCACAAAAACAATCAAAATTCCGAACGTCAGGACCACTGGAATTTCTGGTTTGTAATTACGATGTTTTCTTTCAAGTTTCTGGTCTTCGTGAAACAGAAAGTTTGCGATTCCCATGTTTTCTAGCAAACTTTTTCTTGTAAAAAAGTTTGGAAATTTTAAACTCAAAATTCATGTTCAAAGGTTTTGTGAAATCCAAATCTCAAATGTTGGTAATTATTTCTTGTAAACTCAAGCTTTTTCTTTGTAAATACAAGTTTTATTTGTTAGTGAAACATGCCTCTGATGTCATTTCCGGACAATTTATGATAGCTACGAAATTTTCGTTTGGGCACAAGCACAGACTTCTCTATATATGGACTGTGCGCTGATCCGAGGAAATCAGCATTGGAGGCCCAAAAATAAGTGCACTTTTATCCATCTTTTTACAATGAAAAGGGTGTCAGAATATTCACAAATTTGGATATAGGATAGCCCATACTTTTATCTATCTGTCGGATTACATTTTTTTGTTGAATTCAAAATAAATAAGAAATAAATCTATATAAATGAGAACATGTTTTCTCGTTTAGTTAGCCATTTGTTCACGCTGGAGGTATATACTTCACAAATGCAGCCGTACTTTGCGCGCATTTTCTTGCTTTTGAATGTTGGTTGCATTGTTGGTTGTCGTTGCTAATTTGTCGGAACTAGTCATTTACGTTGGTTTTGAAAAGGGTTTTGAGAAATAACGATACATTATATAGGGCCACAAGAAGCAGTAAAAATAAGTAAGAAATAGCTCGAAAAAATGGTCAAAAAAGGAAAGAATATTATCGATCACTACCTCATCAGTCATCACGACCGGATCAGAAAACGTGTGGTGCGAAGATGTCATTCCGGGTATCTGTGCCGGTGATGGCCTGTTATTACAGGAACTTCTACTTTGGATATCTCAGGAAACTGGCAGGTCACCATTTCTAGGCCAGCTGTGGACATTTTTGATGGAGAAGCCAAGAAATGTGCCAAGGGCGAAGAGCATACTGTAACTAACGAGCTACAGAATATGACGGAGGCGCCGGGGGCACTAATCGTTTGGCCGAACGGGGAAGAGCACTCGATCCGCGCCCCGGCAGGTTACCTGTGTTCCAGCTTCCGAGCTGAGATGGTCGCCCTCCGAGCTGCTCTCTCCTAGCTGCTGGAGAACCCGCCGCACGCGGAAGACACCATCGTAGCCTGCACCGACTCGCAGTCCGCCCTCGCCGCCATCCGAGGTGGCTGGGCCGCCCAGCACTCCTCGCTCGGAGTGGACATCTGGAGAGCCCTCTGGGGACTGACAGCTGGAGGCCTGTTGGTCTACCTACAGTGGGTGCCCTCACAATGCAGGTTGGAAGGCAACGAGAGGGCCGACACCATCGCCAAGAAGGCAAACATACTCGACTAAAAACAAATCCTTATAGACGTCCAGAAGGCCCACTGGGCCGCCGCCAGAGTGGCGAGGGCTCGCACCGTCGGGGCCTGGCCAGCCGGCTGGTTCCACCAGCTGACGGGGATCGACTCCCGCCTACCGTTGCCGGCGGCGACCGGCCAGCGGCGGTGGACATCCACCAGCTCCGCGCCGGCCACTGGACAAGCTCCTCCCAATGGCGCCACAGAGTCGGGTTGGCGCTCTCCTGGCTGTCGGGGTGCAACCAGTGCGACGACCGACAATGCAGAGCCGCACTCTACCCGTCTGCTGAGAGGAGGCGGACAGCCCAAGCATGTCCTCCTGCGGTGCCCGGCTCTGATGGGCACCCGACATCGCCTGATGGCGACCATCAACCCCAACATGGAGGAGGTGCGGAGCGGCAGCATCGTGGTGGCCCTGGGGGCCGCCCACAGGTCCCTTCAGAGCTGCTCGGCTACGTCTCCATGGGACGAAGGGACACAATAAAAGCAACAATAGCTACAGCATGACAACGTGATGGGAACGACCGTCACAAGAGCTATCGCCGTATCATTCAGCAGCGAGTGGAAAACGAGCAGACGGAGGGATACGTTGCAATTGGTGATGCGCATGTGCGAATGTGTGAAAGTGCGACTATGTGTAGATGCGTGGTTCGAAAAAGTGGGTAGCAGAGAAGAACAGTGAAGACACCGTTGCAGCAGACACACATTATCCCGTAAAGTCCCCTATCGGCATTACCGCCAATCTTTACCACCAGCGCGGTCGGTGCACTGTCGCGCGAGTTTGTAGCCTGCTATGTCAGAGATGTGAACAATCCAGCACACGGGGGAAGAAGAAAGGGATGATAGCCACCCTTTCTCGCTGGATTCCGCGGTGAAAATGGACTAACGCCATTTTCAAGCCCACTGGTGCAATGCGAGATGAACTTGACATGAGGACATCAATGGGTGTCGATGAACGTGAAATGATGTTCCAATACAGATTCATATCGACCAGAAGCCTTTCTTATTCTGAGCTACGAGCAATAGATAGTACAAAAACAAAATATATTACATAAAATTCAGCCTGTCGACAGGAAACAATAAAAGGGTATTGTGTTACAACATATGGGTTCATGTTACGGCTTCAGAAATTTGGGCCTCCAATGCTGATTTCCCAAATCAGCGCACAGTCCATATATAGAGAAGTCTGTGGCACAAGGTGTCAAATTGATGCAGCCGAAGATACTGAAAGTTTCATGTTGATACGTTTACGTCCAGCGGTTTATAGGATATTGCAACCCCCCCCCCCCGCCGCCCCTCAGTAGGGCGCGGGTTAACTCTCGTCAGCTGTAGGGGGGGGGGGGGCGCTCCCCTGACGGTTTTCAAGACTTCTCGGAACGCGCCGGCGATAGAGAGCTGAAAGTTAGCACGCCTCACATTTGATTCGAGCCGGATTGTTTGACACATACTGACTTTTCAGGTCAGTTCAGGTCATTGACCTAAAACGTCACAAGTGAGCCTCTGCACGGTCCTAGAATGTCGCAGCGCCCTCAGTGCCCGAGGAGCTAACACATGAAGAAGACATCGACAGGTGGTCCTAATAGACGTGGGACAACACATCCGCACCAAGCACCCTTCGCACGGAGAGGACGGCGGGGAGAGCGTCGGAGCGGTGGCAGAGTGCGCGGAGAGAGCCGGACAGGGCACCAGGTGAAGGGGGGAGGGGGCAGGGTACAAGGGGGTGGGGAAGGGTGAGGGGTAGACAGGGTACAGGGTGAGGGGTGGACACGGTTTACACATCAGAGGTCAAGTCACGTCCGATCAACTGGTGACGCCGGAGCCCATATTCAACCCTTAGCCCTCGCCCGCACATGCCATTTTCCCATCCTAGAACGCACATGGGGAGGGGGGGGGGGGGTTTGCCACCCCCGCGCCATTTCGTTCCTGCTGGAGATAAAGCTTCGCGGTAAGGACTAAAAGGATTCTTTGGGAAGAGATGAATCTGATGATACCCAATTTTACCTCAGCAGGTCAGTCATTGACCTTCCAGGTCAGGTAAAACTAAAAAATGTTGCTGTTTTGGGTCATCGTTGGAATATCAAGTGCATGACTGCTTATCATATACCGATGATGCTGCTATATTGTGGTGCCAAGCCAGCTAGAACCTCTTTGTCACACTATCCGACTAGGCTTTTGCTGGCTGTGGTCATTTCAGGTCAAGTTAGGTCAAGGTCAATGATATGTGCTTGTATGTCTGTGTGTGTCTGTGTGTATACTGATGTGTGCATCGATTGTTTGTGTCCCTATTACATGAGATCATGAACTGAGAAGCTTTTAGCAAAAATACAGTCAAAGAAACATCACGAAATGTAAATTCAGCTTGCCTAAAACGCAATGTTTTTAGATGACCTAGGTTGACCTTGACCTTGACCTGACCCTGACATCTGTACATCGTCGAACATGTTCCATGATAGGTGAGAGGTAAGACTGGCAAAAAAAAAAGCCGAAATCAACGTGTCAAAAGCTCACAAGACCCATGGCCAACGCAAGATATTGGGTATTTGTGATTTGGGTCAGGACATGACTTGAAGAACAAGGTCATATCTCCGAAACCAAAAACCACAGAAGCTTGAAATTTTCAGTGGACGCTAAGAAAGGATAGACCAGAACCAGCTATACAAAAAAGCAGGCCTCTAGCTTAAAAAATGTTGAGTACCGAGCAGAAAAAACTACCGGGGGGGGGGGGGGGTTGCCCCCCAGGTGCAGCCGAGGGTTAGCACACCATCGACCTGAGTAAATTTTCCTCAAACCTAAGAACCCTGTCCACAGCCACCCCGCATCACTGACCCTGGCGTCGGAGCAGGCGATGGCCGTGATGAGCAGACTGGTATAAACCGCCGCAAACACCTCCGCCAGTAGCACCGTCAGCTGCGGGCCGTCGTCGTCCTTTTCGCGCGAGAGCAGCGCGCGCAGTGACGTCACGCCCGGCCATTTGGCGGGAGGCGAGGTGACGGCAGGCGGCTGGTCGGCGCTGGCGCGCCGGCAGCGCGCGCCCAGGCCGGCCGTCAGGTGGCTGGCGCTCACCGCTACGATACCGTCCACGCTGTAACCGACCAGGCTGCGGGAGGGGCGGGCAGGGTGGTGTGGGATGGAGTGGGGTGATGCGCGCGTGGCAAATGGCTGCGAGATCCGGTAGCTGGCGTATACCGGTTACAAGGACAATCGCTAAATATGATGTGTGAAAAGAAACGAAGCAATTCGATGACAGACAGCATCAATTGGAAGGCAAGTGTCAGCATCTCCAGAAAGGTCAGCTGTAAACGTAAAAAAATCAATGTCCTCTCCAGTCTTAATTAACTACTTTTATAAAATCGAGCAACCGAGCAAGTACATTCTTTTAGCATCATCAATGGCCATTCCCTCCCAAACCGCCCATCAGCCACCCGCGCCTGCAGTCACTGACCCGTCTTTCTGTTTGACTTTGAAGGCGTCAGAGTCGCAGAGCGCCTGGTAGACGCACGATGAGAGCGCCACCGCCGTGTTCTTCAGCACGGCCAGCGCTGACTCCTCTACCACGTTTGGAGACGGAGGCGCCGTCTGGGGGAAGAGACGCAGACGTCAGACATCAGAGGGACGGGACGGTGGGAAAAAATCATAGTACATGGTATTGGAGTACAACACACAGTGTGGAGTGCACGACATGGTATAAACGTCACCTTTAACGCACTTATTTTATTTTCCATCATTTCGGACAATTTCCATCATTTTAAATCGATAAGTCAACATGCGCCATTCTACCATAGGATACATAAAAAGCGTACCACGGCCGAGGTACCAAGTCTTCCTTATGCTTCAATAATTCGCAGTATTTTACGCAACAAGTACAGGCCACCCAGCAGCGGACCAATGCCTTTCTCTGCTCACCTACCCGCTCTAGTTCGTCCTTACCTGATGTGCCACCACCTGAAGCAGATCGTGGGCGATGGCCTGTAGGTGCCGCACCGGGTCCATCACCACCGTCTTATTGTTGGCCACGCTGGCAGACAGCAGCGGAATCATGGTGGGGAACGGCAGCGGACTGAGCAGCTGCTGGCGGCTCGACTCCTGCTGTAACTCCTGTGAAATGGAAACGGAAACAGTCGGTAACAAAACAGCCGTGGATTGAGCATGAGCATCGCCCTCAACTAAACACTGCAGGTTGCTTCCAAATAAAGACAATGCGGTAACATACAATGAATTAAGCAGAGTGCAGACGCTGCTAAGTGTTAACGGCAAGTCTTCTGCTGCACTTTAAATTTATAACTCAGACAAAATGCCAGCGTACTTTGTGGCCTTCAAGACCACAGAGACGCATATGATACCAGCGCCCTCAGTGACTCACAGCTGATAAGCAGGCCCACATGCAGTCACGCTCCATTCCCTACCTGAAGCAGCAGGATGAGTTCCATGCGAACGGAGGCCAGAGCGCCACCGGCTGCCCCTTGCAGACTGCAGTAACTGAGCAAGGTGCGTAACAGCGCCTGGTTCGCTGTTAACACACACGGACACATAATGTCATGAGCCAGAAAATCCCTGCGATGTGTTGCTTCCGATCATCAAAATAATCAGTCGAGCAAATGTGGTTTCTGTAACACGACTTGCGAATAATTTGTCATTATATAAGCTCATTATGACGAGGCCAATCATGCCGTATTCCCCGAAAGTAAATGTCAGAAGGCTATCATGAAATAGACATGTTAGGATCTTGGATAAAATCAAGTTTTCGGTAAAAGGAAAGCAGATTATCCCCCAGAGCCAACTTTGGCCGCTCGTGCGTCCCACTATCATTCAGCATCTACCCACCTTTGAGCCATGTCTTCCTGCGCGTGGCGCGCTGCAGTTTGGCCTCGAAGTCCATCTTGTCCGTGAGCAGCACGTCGTGCAGAGTGGGCCGCCGGTCACCGGGGAAACAGGGCGGCGGAGTGGCGTCCTCTTCATCGGCGGTCGTCGGCAGCGCCGCCACTGCCGGGGAGGGCAGACAAGGAGTCAGGCAGATAGACAGGTGACGTTTTATGCCTCCCTTGCCCACTACCAATGCCAGAGACGATGACAAATATCAGTTTTGTGCTATTCTTTCAGCAAACAAAAGCCACCAGTCTCTCCGCTGTATCTCAGAGCGGCCTTCAATCTTGAAGTTCGCTCAGTTAGCGTGAACTATCCACTAGCTCAACAAGAGCGGCTTAACAACCAGTCTGACCTCAGTACTAATCCAGCAAGAGTCTCCACACTGCCCAGGCCGATCTCCCCTCTCCTCCCAATCCCCCCGCGCAACCACGCAATTCTCACCGTCGACGGTGCCTCCGTCGTAGTTGCAGACATCAATGAGCGCGTCCACCTGCCTCTCCAGCCACAGGTAGAGCTGGTAGCGCAGCTGGCCGCCGTCCACACCCAGACCTGAGGCCAGGTTCGAGAGCTCCTCCATCATTAGCTGCAGGCAGCCGATGAACTTGAGCTGCTGCGCCATGATGTCCAGGACGCCGGAGCGAGCCGCCTCGGCAGGGCCCGGCCCGGATGTCTGTCGGCAGGGAGAGAGTAGGGAGTGAGGTGAAGGGACGGGGGACGGAGACTTTATTAGACCGACCGGCCACTACCACTTACAATTAACACACGTAAAACGGAGAGACCGTGTCCAAAATGACGAAACAGGAGTGCGCATTAAGGCCTCCATCTGAAACTCTGATGTTTTAAATGTAGGTAGCATACAACTAAAAGTAGCTGCATCTCAGCTCACACACTTCACACCATGCGTCCATCCGACCCACGAAAGCCCAGTGTCCGTTGCGCTCACCATCTGTGTCTGCGTCTCTGCACCAGTATCAGTGCTGGTATCACTGCCCCGATCATCGTCCCAGTTAAGCTCCAGGGGCTCGGGGGCCAGCCGCGATCGGACCGGCGTCGACCAGTCAAAGTCCTGTCCGAGTGACTGCGGCAGCGGCGACGGGACGCGCGGCGCGTCCATGAGAGCGGCGGCCGTATCCCCGCCCGGTGCCAGCAGGGACTCGACCGGCTCCGGCTCAGAGAGCGGTTCTGTGGGCAGAGCGGGGAGAGGGGTGTTATAAAATGAGGGGAGAGGAGGACATTGGAAGGAGGTGGACGTTGGAGGAGAAATGTGAGACACTGATAGATGCGTCTTCAGACCACTCATGTTTTGTATCGAAAAAAAAACAACACTTATTGGGACATGGAGTATAGCAAAAGTATACGCATTCCCCTGACAATTCTAAGCTGTCGCAGTGACAAAAAGGAGCAGCTGGAGATCGATTTATTCTAGTGGAGAGAAAATAATGCACTGCAGAAAAACTGCCACATTGCATCACCACCATTCGTAACCACTAACCACGTAGCTCTGCCATGCTCTGCCTTCCGTCTTACCTGGCTGAGACCAGTCAATGATGCCCGTGTCAATCCTCTTGTCCTGCGGTGCCGACTTGACCGGGCTGGCCACAGCGCCTGAAAGGACATACCCGAACCCCTCAGTGACAACCATGGCCGACATTCACGGAATAATTAAGGTGATTAAACCACGCGGAGCTTCATCAACAGAATTCCATTCAATCAACCGACACCATCACGATAAAACAAACTTGCAGTCTCACTTGCAAGAAGTAAGAACATTAGCTTTCCTGACACCAATCTTGATATGATACCATTTAACAATCAATCCCTCTGTCATATCACTGTTCCCGAGTCCCAAACTCACTCTCGGCCTCCGGACAGCTGTCGAGCACCTTGCTGGGTAGCTTGGAGAGCACTTCGAGCGCCAGGGTCGGACAGCCGGCGCGGTAATGCGCATGCGCGGTGCTAAAGTACAACTGCCGCTCCAGCGGAGTGATGGCGTCCACGTGGAAGAACTGGGACGGAGAGCGGACAGGTCAGCAAGAGCAATAATCGAGGAACGGTGAGCATTACATACATCGAAGAAACTGGCCTGAAAGAACATAAATATTCGATTCTCAAGTGAAACAAAAATAGCATAAGTGACTTGGCGAACCTGGAATAAAAGTTAGCCTTCGATCTGAGCTTATCGTTCGCAGCACCTGGATCCGCTGCCGGGCCCCAACTCAGTTCCCTATTCCCATATTACAATCACACAGCTCTTATCTACCTTTGATCACCCTCCCGTTGATCACCAAACCCGTCCCACCTGTTTGTCCTCGTCTCCAGCGTCCTGGCCCCGTCCCCGGCGCCGGTCCTGGGCGCCCTGCGCCTTGTACTGCTTCACGATCAGCGGGTGGGTGCGCAGGTACACGTAAAAGTTGAACACGGTCGGACTCGCTGCCGGAGACACGGGAAGATGGTCAGAGGGAGAAGTTACCGTCAGGAAAAATTGTCGGATAGTAGTAGTCAGATAAAAATAGGCGGTGAGCAGAGGGCGAAGTCAGAAATGACCACGTTTTGACGGTAACTAACGAAGAAGAAACAGCAAAATGGCACGATGTTTATATTTTCCCGTTGGTTCGTGATATATCGAGAGTGATGAGCTGGTGCAATCCATACCCACAATTTTCAGCATCCAAATCCACGCACATAAGCGTTAGTCAAGGAGCTGTTGGTCTGAGCAATGTATACGACTACGCGGGAGCTTTACTGATCCAAAGTATAAAACATTGTGTACGTACTGCCGTAGTATGTCTGCGCGTCCTCCTCCTGATAGGCCGTGTGCAAGGTGCCCACGTTGACCTTGAGCAGCGTGTTGAGGCTGGCCGAGTAGTCCTTTTTGATCCAGTAGGCCATGGAGCGGAGGAACGGGTCGGGGTGCGCCACTGCCAGGTCCACCGTCCCGTCCTCGGCCACACCGAGAATCTCCTGCGGAGGGGAGGGTAAACGTCAATGACCCCCCGTATCGTCCTCAAACATATCCTGGATATTCACGTATAACAGCGATACACGTGCTTTTGTCGTTTTTAACCGACAGAAAATCGCTAATACAATTACCGACTCTTTCGACATATGCAACAGATCAAAACAGCTCCCTTCCAAGTTCCAACAAACGTTTCTTGTTCCTCCGATCGTCTTCCTCATCCTATCTAGTGGTAGACTACCCAGTATCACATGCTTAAATATTCCTACATCGGATCCCCCCCCCCCCCCAGCTGCCGTAAACCCAACCCACCTTGTTGAGCAGCTGCTGCAGGCTGGGCGGGCAGCTGTCCAGCTCTCCGTCGTACAGCCGACAGACCAACATGGCCAGCTGCAGGTCGTGCAGCTTCGTCAGGATCACCTCCACGCAGTCGGGTAGACTATCGGCCAGCAGGAACAGAGCCGCCGCCGACTCGAACTTCTGCTTGCCCAAGCACTGGTAGGCGTTCTTCTTGGCGGCGGTACGGCCGTCAGGCGTGGTGAAGTCCTTGCTGAAGAACTTGTAGCGCCGGTCGTCGCGCATCTGTTTGTACAGTGCCGCGATCACGGTCCGTTTGCGCATAGCGAAGTAGTAGAGGGCTGCATCCATTGGGTCCTTGGTCTTCTGGTAGGCCGTCTTGGCGATCTGACAACGGGAAGAAATGTGTCAGCATCACGCAGGAAAATCCGCCTAATGACGTGACCGCTACCAGAGGATGTTCAGCATCAGATCGTACCATGATATGGGACTCAATTGTACTTACAGAATGAAGACTTACATTGTAATCCATAATGCTTTTAGCGGCAAAGCAGGCAACGGTATACTCCCACTCCAACCATATTTTAAAGAGCCGCAAAAAAAAAAACATTCATCATTCCTCTCCTAGCTCCCTCCATCTCTCCCCTCCCATCTAACCTGTTCGACGATGCGTTTGAGCAGCGTGTTGCTGCGGATCCACCATCCAGCGCCGAGCTGCTGCAGCTCTCTCCACTGGGGCTGCGCGCGCGCCACGCACGGCACCAGCTGTACCAGCTCCTCCTGTGACTCCGAGTGGAAGCCCCATACCACGTACGACGAGCTGAGGGCCAGAGAAGAGGTAAGAGTTAGCTAACTCAGTTTTACATAAAGGTGATTGAGTGGAAACTCCACAACATGTACAATAAGTTGTTAGACACAGACAAGGAAGGATTCAGACGACATAGACGGTTTGGCATACTAACACTTGGGTGACCAATGCATCTAGGTAAGAGTTTGCATGTGACAATAAGGGGATCACGCATAGATCAAATCTATCGATGATAGTATTCAATGATAACGATCACAAGTCACAACGATAACATCGACGACAGAACGATAACGGATAGAATGTGTCATTATTCTATTCCATATTCCATGAATGCAGCCGTCCTGAATCTGATAAGTATGAGAGTCACAGTGGAGAGCAGGAGTCCGTACACGAGGAACGAGCACGTGCAATGTGCCGCCAGCAGCCCGTACTCACGTCAGGCCCTGCGAGTTGAGCTCGGCCTTCTCCTTCGGCGGGAGACACTTGGACAGGTAGGTGAAGTTCCGCATGGCCAGCACGAAACGCAGGCCGGAGTCGTCCACAGAGTCTGGGGTTTACAGCGCGCCGGTTAGTTGCGAATTGTGATAGCTGCAGTGTTTACTACGGCCTAATAGGGATTTATTGCCAAGTCATCCACATATATTTAACTACATGAGAAAACAAAGATTTCTTTTAATACTCAAATGATGTAAAAGTATTTGTAAAAAAAAAAAACTAAATGCTCGATGAGAAAAGCGAATTATTTCTTTCCCACATCATGTAGCAGCTTGGACCCCAAGCTCACCGACGCACTCACGCACATTACAAAAATCCCACACAATCCTCCCCACCCACCGAGTGTGGGTCCCTGGCTCTTCTGCGCCTCTGCTGCATCATCCGAAGACTCGTCGAAGCAGTCGGCCAGATCAGCGTCCACGGAGGCGACCGTGTCGGCCAGCGCTATCAGATAGAGCTGGTCGATGGAGGTGAGGTCCGGCAGGTGGCAGTGGGTCAGCAGCTGCGTCAGCATCCGGGACTGCGGCCAAAATACGAATAGAGTTAGAGAATGTGATAGATGTGAAGTGATAGATGATGATATAGATGATATAGATACAGATGATAGAGATGATGTGACAGTCAGACACTGTGATAGACAAATAGCCACGTCAGAAACTTCAGAGAGCAGCGCATTGTGGCCCCAAGATGTAAAAGTGAGATGCGTACGTCGAACACTACGCCAGCATCAGAGACTGCGACGGAGACAGAAAGTTAGCGCCAGAGACTGAGGCGAAGATACGCAAGAGACTGTAATGGGGACGCGCATAGAGCACCAGCGACTGCAGCGGAAGCAATTACATCTCGTCAGAATTTGGGACTGCGACGGGGACACGAACATATTGATATCACAGAGCGAGTGGAGTCAATTACAACACGTCAGAGGCCCAGTGACTGAGACACGCCTATCACACCAGTAAAGCTTGAGGCGGAGGGAAATCACATCGCATGTGTAAGACAGACTCAGCATAATCGCACACGCATATGTGATAAGCAGATGAACATGTTGCGCATGTCAAACGGATGAACACGACACATTCATAAAGCGTACGCATAAATAACGCAAGCAGCTGCATGGATGGCACACATAAGAGAGTGTAGTTATTTGCGGCGCACGGTGTTCGGTGAAGCTAATTTTTTGTGGTAAGACAGGTCACATAATCTACACACAGCAGCACTATGTTAAGCATTAGAGAGTTCACAAATGACCTGTAGTAGGGTCCCAGGGCACTTAAACAGAGAGGAGAGCTGTAACGTCTGGTATGTACCACGGGTCGATGAGTCAGACAGCAACGTTCAGCTGGACAATGCTACGACTCAGTGCAGAAATAACCACGGAGACAGCTGGCACCCAGTTCAAGATCTGTCTCGTTCAGTCAATCCACGGTTTGGAGTAAAAAATTAGGTCATTGAGCCCTGTAAACGATACAAAGGTCTTTGCTCTAGTAGAGGGCAAACACGGTTTAGCACATTCGGACAATCAGGCACTCAAGGCAGAGGGTTAGACCACCACAACAATCACAACGAGTTCTATAGCCTTGATCACAACACACATCGAACCGGGCCACGAATATCTAGTCTGCCCGACTTGACGTCAGTCTGGTACTCGATGCTCGATTGATGCTCGATGCTTGAAACACGTCCGAAGCAGACGCGGTAAATATTCTGTTCCTACTGATAAATTTCGTCTGATGAGGACGTGAGGTCAGGTTAAACAAGGACAAAAGAAGACCACCGATAGAGTCAGGAGGAATGATCACTGACTTCGATGCACCAATAACTGTGAATGAAGTGGAGATAAGATGATAGATGATACCAATTATATCGAGTTGGTTGGATCGGGTAAAGGATCGCAGATCTCCAAGGCTAATCCATCAAGGCCACGTCGGAGGTTGAATTTTATCCACTCCTGAATGACGTGAATGTGAAGGGAACGGGTACATAACGGATGAAAAAAAAAGATTGTCTCGCTGTACATATGTACAATTGTACAACAGACCGGCGACCGCCCTCTCTGGCACTCAGGGAACTCAGGGGCCGCACGGTTAAAGCAGGGAGAAGGGTGACAGATTGACAGACTCACAATCACAGACAGACACACAATTAACACTGACGGGCATAGGGCCCCAGAGGAAGCTTGTCTTCTCCCGTTGGCAATCAAGTTTCAGCAGAAGTACGCACGAGAAGATGAAAAATAGAGAGCTCGCGCGAAAAGGGGCAGCACAGAAAGAGGGGGAGGGTCGGGCCGGTCACATCACAGACAACATCTGGGCGCAGAGTGACGCCGGCGCGGGCGGCGCACCTACCCGTCGACTTTGCGGCCCCACATTCCCGTCAATGGCCTGAAACAGCGTCACGGCGGGGCCATGAACCAGTGCGCAGGGGTCAGAGGGTGGTAAAACACCGGCGCTCGGCCGCCGGGTGAATGTCGTGGATGTGCGCGACTCACTACTCAGTGCGGCAATAACTCCGTCCACTGGTTAGGCGCGCACATTTACGCGATGAATTTAACATTGGAGTCTATGAGCTGCGAGCCGAGTGCCGACTGCGGTTTAGCGCCGAACGTGTGATGAAGCGCAGTCAGCTGATTATCTAGCGGCTGGTCGGCGCCGAATTACGCGCTGACGAGTTGGAATACTTCAACTTTTCACTAGGCGCTGAACGATTGCATGCTGAATACGCGCCTAACCAGTGGACGGCCACCTTTAGTCGGGTGTGCTAGGCAGGGCATGCACGGTGCTGATAACATAAATGCAATTGCAGCAAAGTAAATAAGCAATGTGGCAGTCGTATCTTGGAGGAAGATAAACAACCAACGTTGCTGAGAAACCAAGAAGGTATCTGATACTCTAGAAGACTAGCTATCTAATAGACTGGCTGGTAGTAAATAGACTACTTCCGAATAAAAGTGCCATTATAAACAGTGCCCAGAATTCACTTCTCTAAGGAATGCTTATGAAATAACGAATGAACTAATCTAATATCTACTTGGAAATTTCTAATGATTACTTGGAAAGAGACAAAACACCTATGAAAGCACTAGCTGCTGAGCGAGTGACACCTCCGATGCCTGCGACCACCGGACATAGTCTGCCTACCTCGCGCGGTCCAAAGAAGCTCAGTCCCTCCGGGGGGCCCGCGGTGGACTTGCGCCTCTTCTTGTTGGCTCCGATGATGTCCTCCAGTGTGGCCTCCCCGTCGTCCACTTTGAAGAGGTCGTCGTAGCTCTGAGGAGTTCCGAGCGTAGGTTAGAGGGATGACTGGGACTTGCGGATAACACAGGCAACTTAGTCATTTACACCCCATGAAGGTAAGAAGAAACTCTTAGTATATCGTGTACCGTAAACCGGGGTGAGTTGATATGGGGTGGTGAGTTGATATAAGTTGCTCGAAAAATGTTAAAATGTGTGCTGCTCATCCATTTGTAAACCAATTTTTAGTTTTATTTTTCTGTGAAGTGAAGCAACCAATAAGTGATACATATAGCTGAGAAAGGCATGCATGTGGTGCGGTGCCTTCTTAACACATGACTTTTTTCAAAGTCCTTTTTTTCTTCTGATTTTGAAACTAAGGAAAAGTCCCCACCCTACAGCAAAGACGGTGGATATTCATGGAACAACATTCACTGGGAAAGAAACTACCATCAATTTACTGTTGATCCCAGGTAGTTTTGGGTTTCACCTATAACAACGCTTTTTTATAATTTTAAGAAAAGTGACAGGTGGTGAGTTGATATGCCATCAAGTGGTGAGTTGATATGCATGATAAAAGCTGATACCAGGCTGGTATGCATGCAAATTAGCATGAAATATGGGTCTGCAAGTAAGACAAAGTCAATTAGACCAACTCTTCTCCTTTTCTCTCCCCACATCATTCCATCAACCCCCAAAAGCTTTAGTTTTTTTTTCTGAATGCTTGAGACGAGGCCTGTTAGTATCACTGATGTTAGTTGTCGGACTTTCGTCCCCGTCTTGAGTTGAGATGTTAGTTTCACAACGTTTCAGCAGGTAACTTCTCCGGCCATAGTCAAATCTGCCGCGATAGTGGAGTGGTTAGAACCGTGGACCATCACCGGGGAAACCCTAGTTCGATTCCCGCTGACTACAGGAGCTTTCGAACGGTTGGACGCGTACGGCGCAACGCCACCAACATCCAGGTCCTTCTGAGTGACAAAGAACACCTGACGAGTGACGACGGCCGGAGAGTAACTGGCCGAAACGTTTGAAACTAACATCTCAATTCTCAACTCAAGACGGGGACGAAGGTCCGACAACTAACATCAGTGACCCCAAAGTTTTTTTTCTGTGGCCATACCTAACATGCAAAAGGCACAGCACAGCTCCCTGTCAAGTCTCAAGATGGCTCCCTACAAGCAGGGGCGCCGCCACGGATTTTTGACTGGGGGGGACGGACTGACTGACTGAAAACACAAGTAGACATTGAACATTCTTACCGTGGCTTTTTCGGTCGGATGCATTCAACGTTTAAAGCAAATATGCCACTTTTAACATAGGGTTTTGAACTGAAGTAACAGTTTTGTAGCTTGAGCTGAGACGAGAACAAATCAGGAGCTTTTATGGCTCAACGATCACCCTAGCCAAATATATAGGTATCGATTTTAGGTTTGAAGACTGAAGTCATTCCCATAGATTACACTTTGTCATTCTCTTACCGAGGAATCCATTCCCTTACGGAAAAATGCTAGCCAATCAGCATTCAGCTGGTTTGAACTACGTACTATGCTTGGTCTATTTGTATACACTCTGGCTTGGTCAACGCGTAATCAGCTTCCGCTGCAATATAGGCAAGTAGCCTCTACGAAAGATGGAAAATAGTGATGTAAAAAAATATAAAATCTTTTTGCAAATATTCATTATTTCCTGACCATTTTATGTTTAAAAACTCATAAAACTGTGGCGAAATAACTGGTTTGAGGAAAGTAGTTTAGGTAGGTAGGTATTTCCTTAAAGTAATGGCTATAGACCGCATTCCCACCGAGTACCTACCTTTATACACATCTGATGTCCGATTCAGTTTGACACGGCAAAGCCTCGTGTTCTATCACGGTATAATTGCTGATGTATGCCACTAATATGATCGATAATGCATATTGCATAGGTAATGCATATTGCATACCCGCGTGGGGGAGGGGGAGTTGTATAGTCACAAATCTCTCTTTTTGGTTTGTGCACGAATCGGCGCGAAGCGCCGCGAAAACTGGCAAAAAAATATTAGGCAAAACTGCTCCAAAATACGAATTTTGCAGCCCGTGTAACAAGCTTGATACCAGAAAACCTTAGGTCAGGAAAACCAAGTCAAGTAGTCAAGTCGCCTCAAAGTTTTGTGGTCCTGCAACCGTATAGCTTATTTCTTAGAAGCTGGAAATTTAGTGTAGCGTGACTGCAGAAGCGTGGGGTCGGAGCCGGAATCAGTCGGAGTTGACTGTTTTGGCCAGTTTTGGCCAGAGTCGGAGTTGAAGTCTTCGAAAATGTTCGGATTTTGACTTCGAGGTCGGATTGGTGTAAAGTCATGTTCTTGGCTGGTTAGACGAAATATATTACGCCCGAGTTCGGCCAGTCGTGTTGTACGACACACGTTGATCACGATATCAAAAATCGGCAGTTCCGCGATGGCAGGTCGGATAAGCCTGGAGATTTTGTTGGCCGAGGTGGCAGGGGTCAGACCCATGCATGTGGGCCCACACCCCATATACTGAGTATCTAAACCTCCTGGACCCTCTCAGATTCGGCACCGGCCGTTCCATCTCTTCCATCCTCAGGACAGTCAAATCCTTCTCCTCCACGCCGCAACCCCCTGCTCCGGGCTGGACGGGCAACTCTATCCCATGCGGGAATGGCTCCACTGGAGCTATAGTCCTTTGCCGGGTGCAGTGAGTGCCAGTGGGCTGGGCTGCCTGTTCAAGTGGCTCACTAGGGTGGCTGCCCCGACCAATGTCTCCCACTAATTCTTTCATACTTGCGGCTCTGAAATGGTCTCTTTGGACCGAAGGGCCTAATCAAATTTCGAGTAGGATAACAACCAGTAAAACGCCGTTTGGGGCGACCAACGGAGCGAGCGAGAGGGTGGGGTGGGCCTTGCACGTGCGAAATTGCGAGGGGATACCTCCAACTAACTTGTGCACTGCACCCTTCTAACCGGTCCCTAACGATGTGCCAAATTTGAGCGCAATCGGCCTAGCCGTTCTCGAGATCTGGAAGCGGCACCCTGCACGTGCGCACGTGCAAAATGGGTCCCAACTGACTTTTGCACGGCACCCTACTAACCGGTCCCTAACCATGTATCAGATTTCAGCACAATCGGTTCAGCCGTTCTCGAGATCTGGAATCGACCCCTGCATGTGCGCACGTGCAGCAGCACCCCAACTGTGGCACATGGATATGCATTGCCTAGTGGGTATACCTACCCAAGATTACCTACCTACATGCCAACTTTCAGCGCAATCGGCCCAGTAGTTGCCGAGATATTGAAATTGTTACAAAACTAACACCTCTTCGTTTTTCACGTGGCACGTGCATATGGGGTCACTCACATGCATCGAGAATAGTCCGATCCGATGCTCGTTAGAAGGAATGAATCTAGATTCTAGTGCTACCCTACAAAAATTACCGCATGTAAATCGGCCAAGTGGTTGCTGAGATATAAGCCTAGCAAAAGCGTGACCACGGCATACTCAGAAATTTCCGTTAACCTACGAAAGACTACGCTCGCTTCGCTCGCTCCGTAATGAGTTTGGGGGGGGACGTCCCCCTTCAATTCTGAGAGTGGGGGGACGCGTCCCCCCCGTCCCCCCCGGTGGCGGCGCCCATGCCTACAAGCTACAAAGGAACACTATAGAACACCTATATACATACAGATTTAAAAAAAAAAGATGTTATAATAATTCGTGGTTTCGAAAATGACAGAACTGTCGTTTCTGTATGGCTAACAGCGCGGGAATTCTGATCTCGTGAAACTGATTAGTTTTCCTGCTTGGCAGTTGCCAACCGAGAATGAGTGACAAAATGAAATGGAACAAACAATATAAAGAAAGTGACTGGTGTTTTAGCCCTCGCCCGTATTCGTGTTTTGCCAGCGTTTAACGTATGGGGGGGGGGGGGTCCGTTGGAATCCCATCGTCGTTTGGCCCCTGGTGGAGCTAGAGCTTCGAAGAAAAAACGAGCGTGTTGCCCGAGACGCGAGGAAGCCGATGATAACCAACTTTAAGGTCCTAGGTCATTGGTCAACCTTCCAGGCCAGGTCAATTACCCAGAAGTCGGGAAAATAAGGGGTTATTTGAAGTTCGTAAAGCGAGGTTATTATTTTTTGGCTGTTGCTGATCACGAATGTCATGTTTGTTTTGATCACATGTGTCTTCGTACATTTAGGCCAGGTCAGGTCAGGTCAGGTCAACCAGTTGGTGTCCTGCCGGCTAACCATAGGGAGTGTCAAGTGTCAACTACCACTGACGGTGTCGTAACATGTTACGAAGGCACTAAAACTACTTCGTAAATGATCAAATGCATGTTAAATTCGACATCGGCCCGAAAAAAACTACCCTAGAAACATGTTCCAAAAATGAGCCGAGGTCACCAAAGGTCAATGACCTGACCTGACCTTCAGGTGACCTTGACAGTTGACACCCACAATACTGCATGGGACCAACATCATTTACATGTTTGGACGTTACAATCACAAAAAGACTGGAAATGCGCGGATAATGTGAGCCGACTACGCCAAATCGCGATTCCGGCCAAGCATGGTCTCGAGAATCAGGTCACAAGTAAAAAAACATTTGAGTCAGGGTCATGAAATCTTTAGAACATGTGTAAAATTGATAAACTCGAGAGGCACTGAAAGTTTCGTCGCGATCGGCCGCTTTTTGCGCGAGTTATGTGCGAAAAGCCGAGGTGGTCCGTTCGCCCGCCTATAAGTGCGAGGGTTAATTTTGGCTTTTGATGCCGAATTCTGTTTTATGTCGCTTATTTCACCTGATGGAATACAGTCCGAATTAGATTCGCTTCACTTCACTTCATAAATATTTTGCTGACTACCAGTCCACAAAAGCTCAGAAGTATATGTATTCTTTCATTTCAATCCATTATTTCTGTCAGAGGCATATCAACCTTGACCCGCAACTGACAATGTGTTTTGAGTACAAGAAAATACACTTGTAATTCCAAAATATATTGCCAGTTTTGATACCGTTGGCTTGAGGGCACGTGACTAGCCAAGTTCAGAATGTTCTAAGTAAAACTAAGCATCATAAAGCGAAAAAATGATGCTGCTAAAATCAAACCATTTTGATAGCGCTGTGTTGGACATGATTGCGTTTTCATGAAAGTGAGGTCTGCTGCCAAACTACTATCATTTTTCTAATGGTTTCTTTCAGGATGTGTTCTCTCATCCTTTTTTTAAACACTGGCATTTTATCAACTCACCTCTGAGCTTCTTTAGCCGAGAAATTTTGAAAAATCCAAAATCATATCAACTCACCCCCTGGGGGGTGGTGAGTTGATATGAACTTTGGCGTTTTAAAAAAGGGGCTTAATATATACATTTTTTATTTATTTTTGCTGATTGCCTCCCCAAGGCATGTGCCCTGAAACTGGCACAAAAAGAATTCCGTAAATGAATGTGGCTTTTAAAGAAATCTAGAATAACCTCAAAATCCATATCAACTCACCCCGGTTTACGGTAGTGCTTTTGCAAGGAGCATTGATAATACTATAGATTAACTTTGAAGCGACCTTCTCCTTGATATTATGTCAAAAATGAAAGAATTATTTACATGTGCATTCGGGCACAGCCCATCATCAGATGTATATTTGAAAAGACAGCTGTCTTTGGGCCCAAAGTATTAGATACTTTGAGCTGTCTTTGGGCCCAAAGTATTAGATACTTTGGGCTGTCTTTTCAAATATACATCTGATGATGGGCTGTGCCCGAATGCACATGTAAATAATTCTTTCATTTTTGACATAATATCAAGGAGAAGGTCGCTTCAAAGTTAATTTATAGAAACTCTTAGTGTTCTCCCGTCCCTCCATTCCAATTGATCGGCAACGTTTCAGTATGTACAGTGCCAGCCTCTATCGCTCCCGAACCGACCAGGCTCCTACATATCCATGCCCTATAGGCTATATCAACCTCCCGCTCCAGCCTTCTCGGTCATGCGAACCTGTTCCTGGGCGATCACCGGCGCCAACAGGTCCCTGTCACTGTCAAACCAAACTCCCTCACTCCCTCCAGCTCCTGTCCGTCTCGTGACTCGTCCACACTAGCCTCCTCCCTCTTCCCCTCTCGGCCACACAAACCTCCTCCTCCATCGCCGGCGCCGACAGGCCCCTGTCCCGGTCAAACTCCCCCCCCCCCTAGCTCCTGCCTTAGCTCCTACTCCTCTCAGCCACACCAACCTCCTGTTCATACCAGCTTCCTGGCTATACTACTTACTAACCTCCTCCTCCAGCGCCGCCGGCGCCGACAGTCCCCGCTCGCGGCCAAACTCTGCCAACTCCTGCCCCTCCTGGTTACACTAACCTCCTCCTCTAAAGCCGCCGGTGCCGACAGGCCCCGGTCGCGGTCGGCGGCGAGCAGCATCCAGAGCGGCAGCGGCGGCACCGAGTCAATCTCCTCGTAGTCGGGTCGGATGTCCTCCGTCTGCTGACGCTCCAGAGGACTCCCTGCGGGGAGGGGGGGGGGGCAGCGGAGTCATGCATCCGTGGTACACAGATCGACAGGTGGCTCCCGCATAATAAAATAGTGATATATATAAAAAAAAACAAGAATCATGTCCCAGGATTGAGGATACCATGTCTGTAAAAGATGGAATTTAAGAATCAAGGAACTAAAAAAGACAGCCTCTCATCCTCTTACGATCGCACTGATTTGAAGCAGTTTCGTTTAAAGAGACACGACATTGATTGAAGCAAGTAAAGGATGCCACCGTGCCAAGGATGCCACCGACCCACAACCACCCGTTCCAAAATCAGCACCAGCCTCTGTCACTTCCACCGCCACCCGGCATGAACCTACCTGGCTGCAGCGAGACGGACATTCCGCGACTCCGGGCCAGCTTCTCCACAATATCCGGATCATCCAGATCGGGATCAGCTGTAGACGATTCCAGCCGCGACTGACGCGACAGGCTGCGTACGTAACGCACAATGTGCGCCAGGATCGCCTTGACGCGCTTCACCTTGCCACAGTTGAGGAGCTCCATCAGCTGTTTGGGATGGTACTGCGGGAGCACGGGGAATGCGATTCGACTGGCCACGAACAGACCGTAGTTGGGCATGTAGTCCTGAGTGGCACCGCGTGCCGACTCGGCCGCCCGGCCCTTCAGCAGGTCCATGTTGGCCAGGGAAGACACGGACATGATGCGCTTCTTCATCGAGTCCTGACGGCATCAAACAGGGGAGCGGGGTTAACGGCACGGGCTGGGACTCGCCATACAGTGAACAACTTCGGAACCTTTGACAAATACCAGTGTTACAACAAGACTTTACCTCAGCGGATTACGTTCCTAAGAAGATTTATCGATGCCTGTGAAAAACTTTCGTCAGGATTAGCAGAGTCAAGTCTGGCAGGTTTACAGACTGAAAAAAGAAAATAGAGCACTAGGGCCTGACGGTTACGCACTCTAACCCATCATAAGCAGAGGAGGCTAAATGGGTCGTCTTACCGACGCGTATGTGAAGAGCTGCTGGTCGGTGAGGTTTCGTGATGCCACGAAGTCGTCCGTGAGCGGCTGTAGGTCGGTCGTGCTGCGGCGGGACAGGCTCAGCGCTGCAGGAACAGAGACATACACATACTCAGGCAGACAGCAACGGCCAGAAAAGCTGACAGGGAGCGAAAAAGTGAGTGACTTGAACAGCCCAAGACAACGATAATTCCTGTCTTTCAGACGAAACCAACATGTAACAGAATATATCGTGATAAATAGCAACTTAACGCACGGAAAAAGAGCCATACGCACGCCCTTATACACTCCCCTCAGCAGGAGCTCGCAAACACAGTGTCAAACCCAGCCCAGAAGCGATCTCTCGGCCCCTCCCAGCTGTCTCGTTTGTTCCCACCCCGGAGCCCCAACTGTCGCACTCACGCGGCATTTTCCACTGGCTGTAGACGTGCATCTCGTTGTCCATGCCGACGATGAGCACGCCGTCGCGCACCCAGCTCATCTGCATCGGGATCGGCGGCAGGCCGTCGGCCGACTCCAGCTTCACCTGGCGGATCTTCATCCACCTGAGGTCGTCGGAGGTCACATCGGGTCATAAAGGCACAAGGAGTCGTATGAGCTCACATGAACTGACAGTGGCTACGTTTCCATGGCACAAGCTAAGCCGATTTGGAAAAATGGATCTGCTCCATCATAGCATTTAGGCATAATTTAAAAATGTGAATATAGGATTAGGTGCTAGCTAAAACCATATATACGTTCATTTTTTGCATAAGATAAAATAGTTTCCGAGAAAAACGCACGTGAAATCTCGCTAAATAGATTTAGACGTGTCATGGAAACGTAGTGACTGTATCGTAAGAAGACGCCCCAGTCACAAGAGGCCACATAGTGCGGTGTCGCAAAAGGTCATATCGGGTCACATGGAGTGGGTCTCCCGAGGTCATACGTCGCATGAAATCGGAGATAAAAGCAGCACCCTCGGGTTACAGTCTTTCGTCAGAAGGCTCTCGGGCCCTTCATTTATCATTCCTCTGGTTTGCTGGGCTGAACATTCCCGGTAATAGATAAAAGCGGGACAATTCCAGCGAAATTAAGTTCTAACCGGCATGCCAATTGACCATTGATGTGGTTCGGTGGCCGAACAACCCGTTCGAATTCGCCCCTCGAAAGCACTTCGAACCAACGCTTACAAAAACGAAATATGGGACGAGTAAGGAAATCGAAGACTATTCTGCGATTAACACTGAAAAGCGATGGAAGATGAAGCAATGACTGCTAATTTTTCGTTATTTAATATCTTCATCTTGATTTGGCATGCTAATTGTCGACAGTTACGTTATCGGTATCGACATGAACAAGTTTTACGGATTTCATCCCCACACCAAATACGTCCGTGAGCCGAGCTGCCGGCCTAGCTCCATCACCAACGCACAACCAGCGCCCGGCGCCGGCGCGGCGGTCCGGGCCCCGGGTTTACGAGGGGAGCAGGGGGAGTGGGTCAGCGCCAGCGGCCAGCGCCGGCCGAGCGCGGCGGTCTCAGATGACGCAGGGTGTCGAATGGCCGCCCGCAGAGATGCGCGGAGAACAAAGGGAGGCGGTCGCGGGTGGGTGGCTTGTTAGTCGCTCACACTGCGCGGTCACGGGTGGTTGACACAGCGGCGTTGTTGACATGTGGTCGGTGTGGGTGGAAGGCCATCAGTGATACGCAGGGAAGATACGTGGCTCGCCTGCAGCGACTAGTGGCTGGTGTTACTGTTGACAAGTGATCAGTGTGAGGAACGCCCCCGACGTCACATGGATATGTGAGGACGAAAGTCTTATTGAAGCGATGCAACAAAACCTTCGACGCAAGTTGTTGAAAATGTCAGTTGCTGGCTTTTTAGCTAGCAATGATAAAAATGCCTGCAAAGTCATGGCTCGGACAAGGATCGGAAGTGGAACAGACAGCCGTTCATGTTGCGCGGACAGACACTTCTGAAGAATGAAGGAAGGCAATTCGTTGAAAAGGTAGGTCAACTTTGTTATGCGTGGTCCTGTGTTATACTGCGTTAGTTTTAGTCAGGAATAGGGGAGAGTGGGGTAATTTGGCCGGTGGTGTAAATTGGCCGCCCCCACCTGTACGATGTCTAATAAAAGTGAGTGAAATAACTCTAGTCTCTATTCATTTGTCATGGGTAGAAATAACTGGAGGACAAATGTCAAAACTTTGCCCCTCGTAGTTTTACCTATTCAAAATTAATAAAACGTTAAATTCATTAGAAAATGGTAACTTTTACTTCTGGTTACAAAGTTGTATAACATGTAGTATTTGGGCTAAAAACGAATTCAGACATTATAGCGCCATTCTTGGGGGTGTTCAGCGGTTCCAAGAGCAATTTCATCTAATTCCGTATAGCCGTGATGACTTTATACACAAAAATTTTCAGAACGACAATATGGGGTAATTTGGCCGGGACTAGCGGGGCAACTTGGCCGGTGCGCTCATGGTCAATATGCTGGGACGGCCGAGTTTTCATGGTCAATTGTACCATAAATGACATGATTCATGACCAACTTTGACTACTTTGATGCCTTACTTCCGATTGGTCAACTGTAAGAGCATGTGACGTCATCAAAGGTTACCAAACGTTTTTTGCTAATAAATCCTTACATAAAAATGGTACAGCCGCACAAATGGTCTCATTCTGTTCAGCTCGCCAAGGCGCATCGAATGATATGCATGATGACCTTGATATCACGTGACCTTGAGGTCAAGCGACCTGAGGTAACGTGACTTGAGGTCAACCTTTGACCTTGACTTCTCGAGGTCAAGACATATATGTTTCGATGCGGAATGACGAGAGAATTACGATGGTACTCGAAGTTTTGGCCTAGCTTGATTACTTCAAAAGTTATTCGTAAAAAACTGTCTACGCATCTAGAGCCGCTAATTTGGCTATTTTGACCCCTGTGACCCCATGAGTCAACCTCCAAAATGTGGTAAATGCGTCATAGGACACACGTCATTGCTGAATCTGAAGCTGACTCGCAATATAACAGAAAATCCCGACCGTAAACTAACACCGGCCAAATTGCCCCACACCCCCGGCCAAATAACCCTGCTAGTGGGGCAATTTGGCCGCCTTGCAGACCTTTGTAATACGTCACAATTTCAATATAAGTAATTACTCTATCATTTCAAGTTCACTGTCCAGTAAAGTAAAATGAATGCGACACCTGCCAGCGTTGAGAATATGCAGAAATGTGTCGTCAATTTTAAGTTACATCGTTTTCTAAAAAAAGCGGCCAAATTACCCCACTCTCCCCTACAAACGCACATGGCAGCACCCGTTCCGTCCCATTTATTTATTCATATATGCTACTTTATGATCATTCCAGCCAGCCGTAGCAGAAAGGTAAAAAGACGCAGGGTGCGAAACTGAGGGAAGTCAATCAAAGTTCTTTACATATACGCACCGCACCCGAGGGCCAACGGTCAACGGAACGTTGTATTGCCACCCCAGAATTTCTCAGCTTTCTTTGGAACGCTGCAATGCGCGTCAGACCTCCAATGACGTAGGTATTCCAACAAGGAAAAGCTGGACTTTGACGTGTGGAGCGTGAGCCCGTCCCACTCTCTTCGGAGTCCGTTGTGGACCCGTCTATTTGAAGTCGGTGTGAATCCCTCAGAGGTCGGTATGGGGTCCTCAGAGATAAGCGTGTGTCCTAGCGAGTCTGACTTCAGGCGCGAGTCCAAGATTTGAGGTAATCGGTCCATCTTGGAAACTTGGGTCTTTGGAACTAACTCGAGCGGCTCTGTGTCTGGTAGTAGGAGGCCGGCACGGTGACTATAAATAGAGGCCGGTATGTGCTTGTCAACGGTCAAGCGTTACACTATGTGATGTCTCTCAGGTTTACATGGCAGGAGCCGTTATTATCCAACTATCCAAAGATATGCAAACCCTCCTCACCTTGGTTGGCCCACTCGCAATCTTGAGGTCAAGAAGACGCAACAACGTTTCAAAAAGATGCGACCCTGTGCAACTTGATAACCAAAACCTACCGATCCTGCCAGGATTCGAACCTGGAATCTTCTGATCCGTAGTCAGACGCGTTATCCATTGCGCCACAGGACCCCCTGCGCACGCGCGCGCGCCTCAAACGATAAAAAAACTGATCCTAGTGCATTCCCATCGGCATCCTCATAGAAAAACATACAAAAGGCCACTTCTCGGCAATCCGCATATGCACCAGTTCCCTGTCGTATTCTAGGTTATCCGACTGACATCGAAATCCTAGCATCAGATGGTCGGTCTGCCCTCCGCGGACGGGCGACTGCAGCCACGGCGTTTAGTGGCGGAGACGGTCCAAATGCACTTAACAGTCTAAGCAGTTAGCAAAGGTCCAAACGATTCTCGTGGTCCAAAGAGGGTTCTTTCTAAAAGTGTGCCGCTAACCGTCTTTGCTGCAACCATTGTGCTGGGCAAGAGAGCATATTCTGCAAATACGATTGAAGCACATGAGGGATTGCGATGACAAGTTCTACTCATCCTAAATCCTCAGCTACTTGTGAAGACACAATGTCACTTAGGCATTTGAGCAAGGCAGCATGCGTTGGTTGGGGGAGTGCAACCGAGGTGTTTATATGTAGAGAAAAAGTTGAGCACCGAATTCGGAGGAGAGCTCAATGGCAATGCCTGTGCTAGGAACACTCGATTGGTCTTCCTGTACCCTTTTGTTGGCAAGGGCACATTTTGAGCCCAAAGGGGGCTCGGACACCCCAAAATGTGGTCCTGTGGCGCAATGGATAACGCGTCTGACTACGGATCAGAAGATTCCAGGTTCGAATCCTGGCAGGATCGGTTGACGTTTTCTGATTCTCATGCCAAGAAAGTGCTGACCGCGTAAAACATCCTCTCACTACCGATCCGACCCAAACCTAAAAACGGGCTGTAATGAACAAAGAGGATCCACGAAGGGGACCAGTCCCGGTGTGTCTTGTGCAAGCTGAGCTAGCCCCAGTTCTGGCACGTTGGCTGATCTAGTCTGAGCCCATGTTTGCTACCCAATCTGCTCGAAAGTCTGCGTTTGATGCCTGAGCACTAATTGTCCGGGATTTATTTCATTTCGAAAGTTCGTGTGCTCGGATTCAGTATTGCATCACGCATGTTCCTGATGGGAGTTTCTGTGTTTTTTACCTTAATATGTGCCTGGAAGCAAGTCTTACCAGACACTCTGGTAGGGAGTCTCTGCGACTTACCTGATCTGGTCGGGGGTGAAGGAGCTGAGCGCAATCGAGGAGGCCTTCTGCAGGATGGGCCTCGCCGTCTGCTGGTTCTCCTTCATCGCCTTCATATTGGCCACCGTGATGTCGCTCGACACGCGCGAGAACATCAGAATCTGAGGATAACAGAGAGAACATCATGATTTCAAATAGCTCAGAGAGCATCATAACATGTGGGGAGGACAAAGAAACAGCAGGATCTTCAGGTAAAAAGGTAAACATCAGGATCTTCGGGAAACATAGAAGGCAACAGGAACTGCGGCCAACCCAAAACTTTGACGCACATCCACATTTTATCTCGCCTCTCCAGAACAAGTTTCCATCCGCCCTGAATCCGCCACCGCCCTCCTTTCTCACCTTGCTGCCGACGCCGAGTGTGAGCATGTGAGAGCCGTCCTCCGAGGAGACCCAGTCGATGCGCACCAGGTGCTTGTGCGCCACGCTCATCAGGATGTTGCCCTCCTCGGCGATCGCAGACTTGACCGTGTTGTCGTTGATGAAGCTGGGCGCCGTGCGCATGCCCAGTGCTGCAGAGGCAGAAGCCAGAAGACATAAGTCAGAGGTGGGGATAGGTGTCAAAGGTGGTGAAAAGAAGGCGACACAAGGCCCGAACAAGAACACACCTGAATTGAAACATGCACCTAGATGGTAAGCGTGCAGTTCCGCTGAAGTTAAATGGCGTTGTTTAATTCACTGAACTCTTTGGCGGCTTATTTGCGGTATTCGACCGACCTAAGAGCAACCACAACTTCGCGTTTCTTCGCGTTGTCGCCTCTCATCCTCTCGGCCTTACTCAATTTTACTCTGTTCCCCTTCGCATCACTCGTGTCGCTCTGTCCCCTAACTTTGTTTCCTCTCCCTCTTCTCTGTCTATCATCTCTCCACCCCCATGTGCCCTCCTCCGCCTCCCATCTGTCCTCGGCTCCTCCTTACCTTTGTCCTCATCTCCCTCTCCACCGGGCTGCGTCCCCACTCCCGACAGCACGTAACGGTGTCCTCCGGCCTCCAGTAGAGAGGTGTCGGCGTCCCCGGGAGTGTACAGTCTTGGCAGCGGCACGTTGTGCAGCATGATCGTGTCCTCCTTCACCCACTCAGAACCTGTCGGGCGGTCATATATGGTGAGATGAAGTCAGAGGAGGTTTGTAGTGTGGCAAGACAAAGGCAGTGCATTTTCAAGTCTACTGATAGTTCAGTGGAAATGATAACAGCTATCCTATTGCTGACACGTCTACCACATCAATGAAGATTCAGCACGGACGGGAACAAATCAAATGAACGACCGGTACTTTTGCTGAGCACAGACTGTGCCGGTGGCAAGCGTGCCGTTAATACACATGGGCCGATCTGATCAATATTCTCTACAAAAAAAGTGAACACCGATACCTAAATCTCCTCACTATCAATTCCGTCAAAAACTCCGAGTCAACTTTCAACCAGCCCCTGCTCAGAACTGGACGGATTCTGGCAAATTTTTACGCAAAGGTCGCGACTCACCTCCGCTGGACTCGCACTCGTAGATGACCACGCCGAGGTTGATGAAGCGCGCGCCTCGCTCCTGCTCCTTCCTGGTGAAGGAGCGTCCGATCTTGTAGGCGCAAGAGACGCGGGCGCTATACGCCACACTGACCGTGAGGGGCACTCCTGCGGCACGGCGGGACCGGAGTGTCAGACTAAGGCAGGATGGAGAAGGGAGGAAAAGAAAAAAAGAAAAAAAATGAACGAGAGAAGAAGATAGAAGACAACCTGCTCACGAAAGAAAAAAAAACGAGCTGAGAAGGAAAGACGCATGATGAAGTACGGGTACTAAAAACATCAGTCTACAACATAATTTATCATCGCCACATTTTCCTTTCGCCTTTTGTGTTCAATGAATAAGACGCAGCCGACTTCCATGTCTCAGCATTATTCAGACTGAATGGTGGGCGTAGTCATTAATGCCGCCTCGGACACCAGTGACTGGCTTTGTCACAGCCCGATCACAAGATTATGTCCTCTGTTCTCTCACCGGGAAGTTTGAGTGCCGAGCTGCGACTGGTCGAGTTGGTCATCTCCCACTCACACCACTGGTACGTCTTGGACGCGGCGCCGTCGGCCGAGCCACCGCTCTCCGAGACGCGGCACTTCCAGAACCTGCCGACGTCCACACACATGAGCGACAGCGCACAGCGTTAAGTATAGCACTCTCACATCCATTACGGTACGGCTGAGACAAATGAGGAGATGAATGGCAGATTGCTATCTGTCTTGGATAGTGACTGATTTAGCGGCCACCGGTTGCAGTTTTTTTTTTTCAAGAACTGCTTTCACATCGTGGCATTGCAGCCTCCGGATATACTACAAGAGCACACAAGTGCCAAATTACAGGCCCCTGCTCAGATCAGCCAGAGCCACCGTTCCGTGCTTCTATCCTCAGGATACTGAAATCCTTCTCCTCCACGCCGCAACCCCCATTCCGGGCTGGACAGGCACCTTTATCTCATGCGGGCTGCTCCCTTGGAGCGGCACCGCTGCTCCCGAGGGAGCGCACCCCGTAGCCGGGTGCAGAGAGTGCTTGGGGGGCTGGTCGGCCTGTCTATTTGGACGGGCTCAGCCCCGGCGACTCTCTAGGGTGCCTGCCCAGACCAATGTCTCCCCCTAATTCCTATCATCCTTCCGGCTCTGAAATGGTCTTGTCAGACCGAAAGGGCCTAACCCAACAAAACAAACAAACAAAAACAAAAATCAGCCAGTGGTTTTAGTCTCGCGTCCTTCTGTCAGTCAATCGTAGGAGATCAGAAAGCTGGGTACACAAACACACTTCTGTCAAACTTCTCTCCCAGCAGCGGGTCACGTACCTGACGGTGTTGTCGGAGCAGGCGGTCACCACGTGGTAGGTGGCAAAGCAGGCCGGGTAGATGGAGGCTGAGCTGAGGTGGCCGGCCGCCGGCGTGGCACACGTCACCTCCACGCCCTCCGGCAGGGGCAGACGCTGGGTGCACACCTGAGAGGAAAGGGAGCGGGGTCAGGAATGCTTGATAGGCCCTCTAAAAATCCGAATAATCACCATAAGGGAGTCTGTCTAGTCACAAGCAAATTATGCGTGATCATTTATTGGAGTTAAACTCGCCAAGCCCACAATCACAAGGTGGTCACAAATCACTCGAGTTTGAGAATTGGGCATGATTGGTTACTGGTTGCCTACCTTGACTGTTGAGATGGAGACGGGCTTGAGCACGGGGCTGGGGTGATCACCGGGCGAGTCGGTCTGGCCGTTCTCTCCTGGCGAACACACAACGAACGACGGGATCAGAAAAGATGATAACGGGAGACTGGGTACGGCCACCATTATACCAAGAGAGAGCAAGTGACCAATCTGGGATCAAATCTGACACCATGAGAGAAACGATGGTTCCCTCTATGATGAAAAGTTTGAGCTGTCACGTGTAAAGGCGAAAGCAGTTGCTAAGGCGTCGCAAAAGTAGATCAAGAAAACCATGTGCGAAAAGGTAGCGCTGTGCGCCTGATCGTATCACGCATATGTCACTTCCTGCTGTGACTGTAAGATCTGTCTCGCGTTACTAACCCTGCAGCGGCTGGGAGGACAGCACCACTCGCCACATGTGAATCATCGTGCCCAGCGTGTCGCGCTCGATGACCACAATGTAGAACGGCTCGGAGAAGCTCTCCGTCTGATGGAGGTCGACGATAGCGGAGAAGCTCGGGTCGGCCGGATACCATCCCGAGGAGCGGCTGGTCGGCGCGCCGCTGGCCCGGCCCACGATCAGCTGCTCCTGGTACACGTGCAGGAACTGCGTGTGCTCCCAGTCCTGGCGGGTGGAGGACGGGGGTCACGTCAGCTGCCACAAATACTTAAGACAAGCCATAGAGGACGGGTGAAAAGAAGATGTAGAGTCACTGTTGAGTGGCTCATCGTGTAAAGATTGTCGACTATTACGATGTAAAATGACAGATAAAGAATGATTCGTCGCAACAATTATCGCACTCAATTATTACCCTCCAGAATCGACAGATTACATTCAAACGTGACAAGTGGCGTACGATTTACCGTAACCCTATAAAAAATATTCGACTCCACAAGTGCATGACGGCCACTGCATGAATCGTCTCCATCACTTCCATCATCAGCGCTTATATCACCGTGGCGGAGAAATCGCTCACATGTGTGACGTCCGGTATGGTGTTGAGGTGGATGACGCAGCCGGGCCGGGAGGCCGACTGTTGAGAGACCAGTCGGAAGGCGTCCGACAGACCAGTCTGCTTCAGCTGCGCCGGGATCGACGAGTTGTCCGACGAGTCGCTCATACCCGAACCCTGGCGGAGAGAACACAGCGAGGGTTAGAAATGGGTGGGGGTGAGTATTAGAAATGGCTGGGGATAGGGACATGTTTTAAGAACAGTGTGATAGATGCATGGGGTGCTCGACAACCGGCAAATTACAATCATGCGAGCAGCGGAGACAAATCGAGAAGCAACATTTAGAAAACAGCATTTCATAACAAATGTACTCATCATATTCACAGTTATATCCGTTTTGGGGTTATCGAGCACTCTGCAGGCGGTCAGTTCTCGAGCTCACCATGCGCTTCATCTTCCGCTTGGCGTTGTTGATCTCTGCCAGCAGACTCCTGGCGTCGATGACCGCCTGGTAGAGGTTCAGGTTTCGCCCGTCCGAGGCCACGAAACACGTCGACGGCGAGTTGCAGATCGGACCCAGGGTGGTGCTGAATGACAAGAGCATGACTCACATGGTTAGGGGCGGAAACAACGGGAGCCACACGATTCGGGATAGCAAGAGTGGTGCGAGACGAGAGAGGTGAAAAATATATTAAATTGGACAACTCAGATTAACGGACAAAATGTGAGGGAAGTACGAACGATGCGAACACGAATATCGAAAATGGCATCATTGGGGCAACAAAGAGAGGAAGTGTGGATTATTGTCAAAATATAACATTATTAGATACAAGATTCGCCAAAACCAAGTCCAAAGGTGACCCTAATCTCGCAAAATGACAGCATATCCACCTCAAAATGTCTCCCAACTTCCACAACATAAAATTCCGCATTTCTCCCCTCCGCTGAGACGCCCGTCATCGGCGCTCACCTGGGCAGCAGGGTGGGCACCCAGGCCACGTGAGAGAAGGCCGACATCTCCGGCACGTTGACACGGGTCAGCTCTGTCACCCCGCCAGAGGTGCGGGAGAGTGGTCCGATGGGGTCCACGCGCCACAGGATCAGCTCGCTGGTGTACGTCTGGGGGAGAGACGGAGAGTGGGGTCAACTGGACATGGTAGATTTGGAAAGATGATTAAATTACCGTCCTATGACCAGATAGGGTTTCACTGCTGCAGTCGGAAGTGAACAGTCGACAAAAGGTAGAATTATTGCTGAAGAAGCGATGCTAATTACCAAGAAGTAATCTGTTCCATTTCTACTAGGGTTGACTATTAAGTAATGGAAGTGTCTCTAGCAATTAAAAGTTTTTGCACGTGCACACATTTTTTTGGTGTCATCACGTGCGCCGATCTTTTTTCTATCCAACAGTGAAGACCAGATGTCTTAGGCTACATTTTACTCTGAGCTATTGACGTTTTTCCAAGAGACCACCCAAACCTGCGGCGCACGACAAAAAAGGGGCCTGGCAATGGCCAAAATCGTGCGCCAGGGCGAGATCACCAGGGCTCAGTGGCCAAGTGTTATGGCTACACGAATAAAATAATGTAAGTTGCTATATTTTCATAAAAACAATACATATAACACAATAAATAACACTAGCACCACTACTCCACATAATCGCCTCCTAGCATCACACACCGTTCCAGCCTCTTGACCCAGTCCTGGAACGCCGCCAGGAGGCCATCTTCGCTGATCTGCGCATGCACGCGGCACACCGCCCGTCGCACCTGTTGCCCGGCGCACCTGATGCCGTCGCTCCATACACTTTAAAAGAAATTTCCTGATCTCAGCAGGCATGTTCCCTACCACAAACTGAGATTTAATGACCTCGCGCTGGCGCGCGATTTTGGCCATTACCAGGCTCCTTTTTTGTCGTGCGCCGCAGGTTTGGGTGTTCTCTTGGGAAAACGTCCATAGCTCAGAGCAAAATGTAGCTAAAGACACCTGGTCTTCACCATTGGATAGAAAAAACATCGGCGCACGTGATGGCATCAAAATAATGTGTGCACGTGCAAAAACTTTTAATTGCTAAAGGCACTTCCATTACTTAATAGTCAACCCTAGTATATGCAATCTATTACATGTAAATCCACCGCATATCCCAGCCACTCCAAACCACGAAATCCACCGTTTCTAGCTGTCTGAGAGCCCCGGTATCTTCCCCTTCCCCTACTTCCATCTTAGCACTCTTTCCTCCCTCACCTGACTGGCCGGCCGCTCGGTGGCCTGCCCGGCGCGCGGCTGCGGGTTGTGATGTGACGTACTCAACATCAGCGGCAGCACCGGGTGACAAGTGATATCATTCACCCGGAACCTGTGTCCGCACACACGCCGCTCGTGGGCCACATTCAGCACCGTCTTGAACTTGGACTCCTCACTGAACGTGATGCACCACAGGTTGAGAGATCCGTTGTCGTGCTTGCTGACCATGGCCATGCTCGGGAAGGGAGCCGGCGGCAGCGGCACCGGGCAGGCAGGAGCCTCACCGGCCTCGGGTTGGATTATGGTCGGAGCGAAGAGACAGAGTTTGGTGGACATGGTCATGGCGTCTCCCAGAGGGAAGGCCTGAGGAATTCGGGAGGAGAAGGAGACCTGCGCCTGCCGGAACGACGGGTGGTGCTCGTCCAGGTAGTCGATCGTCCTGTGAAAGGAGTGGTGGCAAAGCGTCAGTCCCAATCGCTTTGGAAAGGTCGTTTGTCGGCGAGGGGTGGCGCTCAAGCGTCGAAAACCTCAGTACAACCAGGTTTCGCGAGCAGCAAATGTGACGGAAGAAAATGAAGAACTTCGGCAGTCCAGTTTGCCTTCGGTCAGTGACACCTCAGGAGATTCACCGATCCATATCGCATCTATTCGATAGCTCCAGACTATCAGACACGACCCACCTTCACTCTCACACCCCATTTCTCTCCTTCCGTCCCAGATACCTCCTGCCACTACGCCGCTACCCCTCCCGCTCCCGATTTTCCCCGTCGTACTCACCAGACGAGGAAGCTGCCATCGACTGGGTGTATGGAGAAGAGCAGATCGGAGCCCTGCTCCCAGTCGCGCAGCAGGGCCGCCAGCCGCCCCTCGAGCTCGTCGGAGCCCACGCAGCCGGCCGCCACCGCCTCCAGGGTGTTGGATGACGACACAGCAGACAGGTTGGGCGATGACTGGGTGACGCCGTCGTCGGAGCCGTCACCCGACGGAGAGTGGTCTGGTAGAGGGGAGAAAGTGATAGGAAGTATTGAGAACTGGATCGTAGCTTGGCATAAAACGGAAGCTGTTCGAAGAAACTACGATGATGTTTTGCGAGAGTGACACGACTAGAGCTACTTTCACTCCAAGTTTATTCGTCGAGGTCATAACCAATATAAAAACATCGTCGCTTGTTCAAACAAACCATTGCATCTCCTCACTGCTCAATTTTGTTCTCTTATCTTCGCTTTACCCACCTCCCGCTCCGACCCTAGTTCCACTCCAGCTCGGTCTGACATATGTACTTGTGGCGATGGAAAGTCAAAGCACCGAGAAAACATCTGACTTTGATACCATTGTCGGCAGCCTCGTGCTGCTGCTGCTCCAGAGACACCCTACCTCTGGCTCTGTCCTCTGTTCTGTAGTCTGTTCCCATGACTCCCGCTCGGTCTAACTTACCTCTGCCGGCTGTCTCGTGCTGCTGATCTACCCTCGTCCCTCACCTTACCTCTGTCCTCTGCCCTATCTCGTGTCTCATCCAATCTAACATACCTCTATCGGCCGCCTCGTGCTGCTGCTGCTCCAGCCGATCCATCTCGGCCGCCAGTCGCTCCATCGCGTCTGTATATGTCATCTCCTTGTTGTTCAGCCAGTGCACCATGAAGTTGAGCGACGAGCCCGTCTCCGAGGTCCCCATGCTGGGCACCAGCGGAATGTCTGGAAAGGAGAGAGGGAGTGAAGTCAGGCGACGGGAGAATGTAGTTATAACAGGTGCTCTACTGAAAAATGACCATTCCGGCGCCATGGATATCTATCAAAATTACATGCAAGATTGTATTTGAGAAACGTCCGAGAAACAGTAACAATTTATGCAACATTCATTCCTTATCTGAAGTGACGCCCAATGCTGATTTCGAGAATATCAGCATGAGTGAAATTCGGCAGCCGGCAAACGTCATTTTATGCCGTCCACAGATGCAGGACCCGCCACTCTCCATAGCTTTCCCTCTCCCCTCGACACTCAACCTCAGCCTCAGCCCCATCCCAGTGGGGCTGCCGCCCCACTCAGCCCCCCCCCCCCTCCAGCCGTCCGCCGCGGCAGCTCTGTTTGTCCGTGAGTCAGCTCGGGTTCGAGTTTATGGGTGTCATTCACACGGCCGGAGAGCGTAAACAAGCATGTGCGTGCCTTATCGGTGAGCACTTCTCGTCAGAGGGGCGATGGAACTTGAACGCCTTCTCCTGGTGTTGTTCCATTTTACGTGCCTCCTTACTCTAATGATAATGGTAGTTTGTGGGTTGAAGCAAAACAGCTATAAAGTTATATGACACTCGTCGTCCACCAATAACATTGTATATAAGCTGGATCCCAACTGGCCGAGCTCACTTCCCCTTTGGACATCGACGGCAAAAGTTCACTCCCCTTGGCACTTCGTCGTTGCTCGTTCGTCTCTACCGGTGTGCTCCCTGCTTTCTGTAAGCACACTGACGTGAACTGAGGGCATTGAGTGGTCGCGTATACCAGTGTGTGAGCCAGTAAGACGTTACGCAACCATTTACGCTCTCAGCACGAGGAGCGCACAGCCGGTTGGTCGCCTCCAGCTTACATTGTATATTAGGGTGTATCGTCGAATTTTGATTTTTTCTAATCGTCTTCACTACTAAATTTTATTGGTCCCTGGCATGTTTGAAGCCGTAGGATACCAATAAAAAAAATCTGGGACGAAAACCTAGCCTGCTGCGAGCGGTTGAACGGAAGCCTGTCGGGACGGCGCCAGGCGTTGAAGTCTCCCCGTTAGTTACGCGCACACTAGCACCACGCGGCGGCTGGCGCCGTGCCGCCGCGTTCCCGGTCAGCCGTGTTTTAGCGTTCACTGACGGGTCGAAGTGATTATTCTAAGCTTTCCTAAGAAGCTTTCTGCCCCGCAGCTCATTATTGAGCAAGAATATCGCACAAACTGCATAGAACATTGACATGCAGGTTGTCGGCACATATGGAGAAGGGGATGTTTTGGTTAATGCCTCCTTTAATAGGAAGAGATTGTGGAAGAACAACACATTTCTCTTGGAAATTACTCATCCGCCTTCTCCCTACGTGCCTGCTTTAGTAATCGAAGTACCCCTTTTGACTCTACGTTCTTGATTCGGCTGTCGATTTTATGCATGGAATTCCGCTATATTATATTTTCTCGCTCAATGTCCCCTGAGCTATATTGAGGCGTCACGGGACAGCAATGCTCAGCACACAACTGCAGAGAAAAAGTCAATGTGGCCATGCGTTTTGTATGCCAAAATGTGTGAGCCTTGGCGTGTACCAGCAGCCGTTGTCACCATTGTAATTTTCACGACTTTATCTTTATAAGGATGCAATTGCCCACTTCCCAGTTCCCAGACTCGGTTTGGAGAATATGTTTTACAGAAACATTAAGGAATGTCTGTAATGTAAGTTAAAAGCTAATACCGAAAGGAATCCACATATTTTCGAATTTCCTGTTTGCTGTATTGCTTAGTAAATGTCAGACGTCATGATGGCATGGTTGCGATTGATGGTATGCCGGATGGCCAGGGTACGAACTCACGGTAAGTCAGCTTGGCCGGCAGGCATCAACAGGCACAATAGTCTTACACTGATATCGTCACCCTCAGTTATTCGTCACCATTCAGCAGCAGGCCCAGAGCTTCGGGCTTTGAACCGTAAGGTACAGGTGTAGGAGCAAGACATTGCGCCGATTCGAAGGGCTGGAAGGGCAGCATCGCGGGGGCTGGAATGTGCCTGAGCGGCTGAGACCATCCCATTGGGACGGGGGTGTTCTGGGTGCACTCAGCCGCTCATGCTGGGAAATGCATCCAATGGAGCTCTACCCCATCCCCACCCGTTTCGAATGATTAGGCTGACCTTTAGTCTAGAACAAAGAAGGATGATGGTTGGCTGGTCCCGAGGATAGAAAGGACAGGTAATGACATCATATAATGAATCGAAGACGGCCCCGGCCCGATCCTCTGATAGAGGCTCATCAACACGTATCTCGTTGTGGACCATTTCGTTTTCCTCCATCGTGGTTTTTGCACCGACCTCAACGGGTTGGAAGATTACGATGTTCAGAAACCATTAAGGTCGTAATTGTATATTCGTTGAGTTAGGTTAGCCTTTCCATTCCATGAAGACTACTTTATAATTATTGGATGATAGGATGAGGTTTTCACTGTGTTGAACCTGTCCTACCTCCTCAGTGAACGAATATACAACGAATATACAATTACGATCTTAATGGTTTCTGAACATCGTTACCTTCCAACCCGTTCAGGTCGGTGCAAAAACTTCGGTGGAGGAAAACGAAATGGTCCACAACGAGATACGTGTTGATGAACCTCTATCAGAGGATCGGACCGGGTCGTCTTCGATTCATTATATGATGTCATTGCCTGTCCTTTGTATCTATCCTCGGGACCAGCCAACAGTCATCCTTCCTTGTTCTAGACTAAAGGTCACCCTAATCATTCGAATGGAGAGCTCCATTGGATGCATTTCCCAGCATGAGCGGCTGAGTGCACCCAGAACACCCCCGTCCCAATGGGATGGTCTCAGCCGCTCAGGCATATTCCAGCCCCCGCGATGCTGCCCATCCAGCCCTTCGAATCGGCGCAATGTCTTGCTCCTACACCTGTACCTTACGGTTCAAAGCCCGAAGCTCTGGGCTTGTTGCTGAATGGTGACGAATAACTGAGGGTGACGATATCAGTGTAAGACTATTGTGCCTGTTGATGCCTGCCGGCCAAGCTGACTTACCGTGAGTTCGTACCCTGGCCATCCGGCATACCATCAATCGCAACCATGCCATCAAGACGTCTGACATTTACTAAGCAATACAGCAAACAGGAAATTCGAAAATATGTGGATTCCTTTCGGTATTAGCTTTTAACTTACATTACAGACATTCCTAAATGTTTCTGTAAAACTATATCTCCAAACCCAGTCTGGGAACTGGGAAGTGGGCAATTGCATCCTTATAAAGATAAAGTCGTGAAAATTACAATGGTGACAACGGCTGCTGGTACACGCCAAGGCTCACACATTTTGGCATACAAAACGCATGGCCACATTGACTTTTTCTCTGCAGTTGTGTGCTGAGCATTGCTGTCCCGTGACGCCTCAATATAGCTCAGGGGACATTGAGCGAGAAAATATAATATAGCGGAATTCCATGCATAAAATCCACAGCCGAATCAAGAACGTAGAGTCAATAGGGGTACTTCGATTACTAAAGCAGGCACGTAGGAAGAAGGAGGATGAGTAATTTCCAAAAGAAATGTGTTGTTCTTCCACAATCTCTTCCTATTAAAGGAGGCATTAACCAAAACATCCCCTTCTCCATATGTGCCGACAACCTGCATGTCAATGTTCTATGCAGTTTGTGCGATATTCTTCCTCAATAATGAGCTGCGGGGCAGAAAGCTTCTTAGGAAAGCTTAGAATAATCACCTCGACCCGTCAGTGAACGCTAAAACACGGCTGACCGGGAACGCGGCGGCACGGCGCAAGCCGCCGCGTGGTGCTAGTGTGCGCGTAACTAACGGGGAGACTTCAACGCCTGGCGCCGTCCCGACAGGCTTCCGTTCAACCGCTCGCAGCAGGCTAGGTTTTCGTCCCAGATTTTTTTGATTGGTATCCTACGGCTTCAAACATGCCAGGGACCAATAAAATTTAGTAGTGAAGACGATTTAAAAAAATCAAAATTCGACGATACACCCTATTGTATATTGATCAAATCCATCCTTCCTTTTTTGTCTTCCGAATTCCGATTACCGACATGTATGCAAAGTGACACCATTCCTCATCTACCGCCATAAGATCCGACCGCGACTTGCTGAAAACCAATACCATTCTCTGTCAACTGCAATACAACGCGCTCCAAATCGCTGAAAGCCGATAGCATTCTCATTTAACTGCAATGCGATACCATGCCTTCGTTTGCTGAAACCCGACACCATTATCCGTCATCTGCAAAATGATACCGATCCCGATCTGCTGAGACATTTCAACGGTCTCAGCCACTTGGAATATAACACCCACATTATCCATCTGCTGATAACTGACGCTAGCCTCTGCTTGCCGAGAACCAACCGTACCCATCTACGACCTGGAAAAACGACAACATTCCTCAGCGGCCGTGATACATGATATGATTATCGACTGCTGTGAAGTTTTGCTTTCTTGGCTGTTGAGACTGAAGAGCCATACTAGCGAGTCGTTCATCCCTGCTGTAATACGAGATGTCGCAGCCGTCAAGACGACTGACCCTATGGAACTAAATTTCCCTCCCTGTCAACATCCCACTACACCATCGACAATAACCATCGCAAAAACACGAAGTGACGTGACATGTTCTCTGATGTCCTAAGCACTTCTGGCTTTATCTTCCCTCTTCAGCGCTGGCTCAGAAGGCATCGGGCGCGCAAAACGACCGATCCTGCCAGGATTCGAACCTGGAATCTTCTGATCCGTAGTCAGACGCGTTATCCATTGCGCCACAGGACCACTGAACGTAGGCGTCCCATGTCACCTTGAAACCCTTGAGTTTAGTGTCTCCTGCGCATGACCAATGGTATGCCCATCACCACTGACCCGACCTGTGCCCGCAGGGTGACTGACCTGACTCGGCGCTGATGCTCGCTGCCAGGTGGAAATGCAGTGTCTGAAGCGCCGTGCGAGGCTGACCGGCGGCCTCTTCTGCAGCCATGGCTTCCAGCAGTCGCCAGTCGGGCTGCTGGCTGGCGCGGGGCCGTCGCAGGTGGAAGCATTGTCTGCCGAATGCATACGCAATGGTATAGTCATACACAGGGTAAAAGGGGAGTGGATAAGTGAGCAGTAGCACATTCTCCAGAAATCACCTAACGTTCATCATCACAAAGGCAACAATGCATCGCCCTTCACTCCCTTGATCAAAACGGCGATAGCTTCAAGCTATGTCAAGCAGCGGTATCAAGATGCTACATCACACTAAACAAAACCACACGGTTCAAGAACCAAGACTGTCTAGATCGCCATAGCAAGCCACAGGTCGGGCCCAAGTGAAAACCACCTCGACCTACCAAGCATACCAAGTCAAAGCCCGCGCGTCGTCACTCACCTCATGTGTTTGAATTTCTGCAGCACCTTGTGCTGTTTGTGCTTCCTTGGCAGGTGCATGTTGTCGTGCGAGGTAGCCGACAGCCACCCAGTATCCACCATGCCGTCGTCAGGTACGCGGGTGGTCTCCACCCACACTCGGCAGATGTTGTCCCGACACGAGGTCACAAGCATGTTGGCCACGGCGCCCCTGTCGAGGGGACCGGCGGTCAGGGAAAGGGGCGGAGATGGAGAAAGAAGCGGGTCGGCGAAGAAGAGTCACTGCTCACCGGTCATCGAGACTTCCACTAGTAGGTAAGACTGGGTAAGGCAATCGAGAGGTTTTGGCATACAGTGGGTGCAGGTAGGTGAGTCACGTTTTGCGGATGCCGGATTCAGCACCATAACTAAAAAGCGATGACACCATGTAATCATGCATAGTCAATTGGACATAGAAGAGTCGTATTAACGGCAATGATCCCTAGCTTGACCCAGCCTGCCCTAGACAGGTCAAAACGACCGATCCTGCCAGGATTCGAACCTGGAATCTTCTGATCCGTAGTCAGACGCGTTATCCATTGCGCCACAGGACCCACGGGCACCTCGCAGAAGCGAAGAAGAAACGGGTGGAAGGAAGAAATGAAGACACCACGGAGAACCTACAGTCCAAAAAGTCAAAAGCATAGTATAATGTCTAGGATCTTTTCGCACCATGGAAGCACAGATCAACTGCTCATCGAGATGAGCAGTTGATCATCTCGACGATCAACTGTTGGCGCCTTGCTCAGACTCGACATGTAGAAGTCCCGCATCTGTGTCAACGTCTCTCGTCTCTCGGCCCAGCTCCCATACCTATCCAAGAAGATTCATGCAGGTACTTACCCATAGCACATTCTTCTCTTCAATAAATGATATCACCTCCAAGTCTGTAGTTAGTTTAGCGCGCGAGAAAGCGATCGCCCATATAACCAGCCGAGGACATTGCGACCTCAACGAGCGACCGGTCCTTTGGGATTAGTTCTTTTTTACATATGTAACCTGATCATTCTGTTGCGTACCACACAGCATCATGCCCTTCGGTTATAAAAAAAAAAACTTGCCAAGTTCGTAGGGTTTGATTGAGACTTGTGAGTACCAACCCGCACAACAACCGCTTTTGAACACTTCGACCTGCCAACGCCTGAACCGCGCACTCGACCAGCAAACCTACTATGCATTTCAGACCCCATGAGACCCTGTTTTTCGGCGATAATTTATTTAATATTTATCCAATTGGCTTCAAATTTTCGCACAGCACATTTCAGCTCAAGCGCCAATTTTCGCTAATATGGTCTCTTAACAAAATATTAATTGTTAGGGTACTTGTCGTTGCCTCGTAATGTTAAAGGGACTATCCCACCTTTAACATGGGGTTTGAGTTGAGATAGCCAAGTTTGCGGCGAGGTTCAGAAACCACTATCTATCTAGGTTGCAACCCCCGCGGCCCCTTGGTGTTGAAGAAATTCGTTCCCTTCATTTGAAAATGGGCCTTGTACAAGGCCCTATCTTCAACATGGAGCGACCGTTTGTGTGACGTCACCTCGTTTAGTCATTCTGATTCAAATGGGTTTGTTCGTTGAAAAATCGCTTAAAACTTGGTCTGAACTTTGTTGTGGTGCCTACAGAGTAAAAAGAATCAGCTTTATGACAGTAATGTGGCCTGGGGAAGGAGGTAATTTTGGGCTGTGACGTCACATATTTGAAAGTTTGTGTTTGGAATATGAGAAGCCTAAGATGTTTAATGAAAAATAAATGCCAGAACCGTGTTCCTGGTCATCCAATCTATAAAGTCGGGCACAATTTAACTGGTTTTAACAACATTTTAGAAGGTGGGATAGTCCCTTTAAGATCAGCTCCGTAAATCCGTCAGTGGAGTAGAGGCTATCCGTACGTAGGCGTGACGTCACAGGCACGTGACCATTAAGCTCCGCCCTCCCGGCGGACGGAGCGGTGACCTTGGCCGGTCAGTCGGATGCGTGGAGCCGACGGGGCAGTAGCCGCCGCACCCAAGGCCGTATGCCGGACCGGGGCGGCTCGCATTGGACGTGGCTGCCTTGCGGTTGCCGTTGCAGTAATGACGATACAGCAGAAACTAGCGCTCGTTATTAGCGCACTAGCCTTCGGTATTGCATTTATCGCAAATTAACCTGCACCTTCTCAATCAATAAAGATATATTTACTTTAATACTAAGTTCAGGGCTAGTGACTGCATTTTTGCTTGATTGAACGTCATTAAAAAAGGCCGTTGATGTCAATTGACTGTGAACTGATGCAAGACGTCGGTCAGCCTACGTCAAATTTGCAAGACATGGTAAACACCGGTAAACAGTTACACCGTAGCATTTAAGAAGTGTGGTTAAAATATGAAATATATTATGCTTATGCGTATGTTTGAGATGGATTCATGTGATTGAACACCTTCAGAACTAGCCCATTTTATAATTGGCTAGATTGAGGTCACCGGACTGACTTGACCCCAGGCTTTCGCGTTGAACTGCAAATAATTAAGATACCTGTAAGCAAGTACCCTAACTGCCTCACTATTGGAGAGCTTGAAGTGTTACTTTAGTTTCACAAAAAGACGCGATTTCTTTACTAGCCTATGCGCTTGTTTCCCTTATTCTGATGTCACATTTCTACCATGCGCAATAAATCGCACATCACATTTCTGCTCCCTTCTCAACGCTTCCCGAATAACGAACACAGCTCGTGGAGCGATGTCTGAGGCAATCGGAAGTGCTCGCGACTAATAATCCTGCTGTTTTTTTTTCTGCATAGTTAGGTATAACAGCGTCTTCAGAAACAGCAATTGACGCAGCCAACCATATCGATATTTTCGAGTAGTGCAGAGGCTTCGCTGATGTCTTAGGCGACAGAATAGTGGCACGACCTGACCATGAGGTAGGCGCCAGAATGTGCATTTATTCAGATATTCAGATAGTGCATGACTCAACTCTCTATTTAATGTTGGTTCTGGGGAGGTTACTATCCTCATTTTGATTATTCTTCATATTCTGAGCTGGATCGGTGTTGATATACCAAAAAGAGAGAAGCGGTTACCAACTCCCCCAAATGAAGAGCAAGCTTTCGCTCAGGCACTTCCTGTCGATTCCATGTATGTTTCCAGTGCACGGCCCCCGTGCGACCTCTCCGCGGTGCTGCCGCCGACTGAGCCTGCATAGACCCAGCGCGGTCACGGCCAGTGGGCGGAGCTTAGTTGGGCCTGGCGCAACGTGATTGGCCAGCGCTCCCATCCAATCCGCTGCGGTAGCGAACCAGCCTCTATCCGGGTGCAAAATCTAATTAGCATTACGAGCCAATGACAAGTGCTCTAAATATTTACATTTTGTTAAGAGACCATATTGATGAAAATTGGCGCTTGAGCTGAAATGTCTAATGTCAAAATCTAAAGCCAATTAGACAAAAACTGAAGAAATTATCGCCGAAAAACAGGGTCTCACGGGGTCTGAAATACATAGTAGGCGGCGGTCATGCGATAAGTGTGGGGGGGGGGGCATGGGGGACCATGGCCGCAAAGAGGGGTGACCCCCCAGAGTCAGTGGTCCTGTGGCGCAATGGGGGCATTCCACGTCAAATCAAACACCGAAATCCGTCACCCCCTTCGATTTTTTCTGAAAATTTGTAGGCAGACTGGGCATGGTTCAAAACTGAGCTACGTATAATATTTTCGAAATTTGATAGCGTATGGCTGAGATATAGGTCATCGAATATAGCGAAAAATGCCACACATCAATTTTTTAAATGGCTATAACTCTGGTTCCTTTTCTGGTATCAAAATGATATTAACAGGGTCTTATAGGCAATTGATAAGGCTTTGATTTTTAATTATAAAATTAAATTGAAGTGACCTTGAAATGCATTTGACCTTGAATTAAAACAGAAAAATTTAAATAGCAAAAAACACGTCACCTTCGATTTGGGTAATTCTTACATATTATGTCCGTCACAATGTTCCTAACCATCTGTGAAAAAAATTGGAGTGGGCCATTCATAATTTTCGCGGCAAACGCCGTTTTCATGCATCAACATCACGCAACCGCGCGTGACCTTGAAAGACAGAGTCAAGACATGATTGCTTGTGTACACTTTCTGAAATGAATTATTGCTGATTAGTGATATCCCAAACTCTGCGAGAATGGAAATGCATAGTCATCGTAGTCAAGCATTCACGTTCCATAGTAAAAGTGTCTCAGGCAAACGGTATTTTGCGGTGAATTTTGAGCCGCGTGAAAATGCATCATGAAGTAAAGTCAACGAAAACATTATCACGCAACGATGTCTTCACGTCTTTTGATCTTCACTATACGAAAGAACATACATTTTTTAGGATGTATGGGGAATTTCTAGTTAATCCAATAATAAATATGGCAGTTAGAGGCCTGCTAAGAGTAACATGTCGCCGGCTGAGGCGGGCTCGGCCGATGCGGGCAAGGCCGTATAAGTTGATGCGGGAAACGCAGCAATCACAATTTTGTGTTTACACGTTCATATTTCAATTGTTTAACAACTGATTTTCAAAATTCTTTCACAATAAGATTGCCTGTATGTACATTTCTTAGTATTCTCACAAAATTAGACGCGAATCGAACGTAATCAGCGGTAGGGAGCGCGATGTAAAGACGGAACCGTTCCGTTCCTTCCCGGCACAGTCTACAATTCAGGCGGCGCGTAGCGGTCGGCGCCGGCTGCCGAGTCGCTGCGTCGCTGCGGCGACAGGATGTTCACTTTACACCGCTATTACTAGAACAGTTGTGAACCGATTTTCTTATTGCTTGCACGATGAGATGTCCAATTCAATTCTTGACAGGTAGCCATAATTAATTTCGCATTAATCTTATGAGGTATTGGCGAAAAACAGGAGGGGTAGTCGAAATTCGCTCTTCCCCCTCCACTGCGCGTGCTAACATACGTTTGCATATGTGCAATTTTCTTCAAAACTTATGAATGGCCCACTCTAATTTTTTCACAGGTTGTTAAGAATATGGTAGGCAATAAAATATATGAAAATGAGCCAAATCGAAGGTGACGTGTTTTTTGCTATTTCAATATTTGTGCTTAAGAACAAAGTTAAGCAAATTTCAAGGTCATATATTTAAGTAGGTGCAATTCTAAACAAATGCTTAAGAAATAACCTAAACAGTAAGGTTTATTTCATTCAAATCAAACTAGTACAACCAAAGTTATGGTCGTTCAAAAATATAAAGATGCAACATTTTGTAAAAATTTGATGCCCTATATTTAGAAGACCTGTGGTCAGAATGTGCAAAAAACATCAATGTAATGTCCGGGGCAACACAGGAACTCGCTCACAAATTTATAATGAAATCGCTGATGGTAAGGTGCAAAACAGCCGATTTTTGTTCGATTTGACGTGGAATGCCCCAATGGATAACGCGTCTGACTACGGATCAGAAGATTCCAGGTTCGAATCCTGGCAGGATCGTAGGTTTTGACCTGAGGTCACTGCGCGCAAGAGATAGAACAAAATTCATAGAGGAGACAATCACTTCCATTGAGAAAGTGAAAAGACATTGCTGAGAACAGCTATCTTCCCAAGAGCTTCTCAATTCATGGAATGCACATGCAGCGGCTGATGTATTGTCCCAGACCCTAACGGACTCTTAACCAAATTTGTTAGCAAATAGTGCCCCTTACCAACCCATGAAGCGGCTAATGCGATGCCCCTGAATTCCCAAAGCATCATATGCATGAAGCAGCTGGTGTCTCCACTGCAGTCCGATGACCCGGTGGGTACCCCCAGTATCTCACATATAGTTACATGAACCGACTGGCGTGTCTGATCCACTGCAGGCCCGTTACCCGGTGGGTACTGAGTACCCCCCCCCCTACCGTGCCCCCAGTCCCTCACCTATGCATGAAGCGGCTGAATGTCTCCACTGGAGACCCGTGACCCGGTGAGTACCCCCTGTCCCCCACCTATGCATAAACCGGCTGGTGTGTCAACCCCTAGTTCCCCACAGCTCACCTATGCATGAAGCGGCTGGTGTGTCTCCACTGCAGTCCGGTAACCGGCAGCGGGTGCGCCAGGTAGATGAAGTCGTACGTCACCGCCTCCCAGTCGGCCCAGCTGGACGCCGAGCGGTGCGACAGGTGCGCTGAAAACGAGAATAAGGACAGCTCAGAGCCTCAGAGAGTGACGGAGGGAGAGGGATACGGTGAGGGTGGGTGAAACTGTAGGCGATGGCTAATGCAATATAGGGCGATACCTAATGAAACTGAAGGTTTGAGTACTGGAGCAGTGACTCGTATCTAGTACGTATTGAAGGCGAGGGTCCACGGTGGGTGAAACTGAAGTATTTTTAGTGTTCAAGCGATGTACAGTCCACAGCATAAGTAATGTGCGGTTTCAGTCATGGGTATGTTCTGCTTCTGAAGCTTAGGAACGATTAGCCAGACTACAATGAAACTTTGAATGTAGCTTATATGTATCGTCACCCTTGCAGCTGCAACTTAAGCTATTGACATCTTCTTTTCGATCACTCCGCATTAAACAATCGCCAGTCAAAGCCAACCGTTGAGATTGGTAAAACCCTACATTACTTTAGCGGTGGGCTGTACCTTCGGATATTGATTTGGGTTATGCTTGCAGGTTACTTACTCTTACTGGTCTTACTGGTCGAGCGGCAGCGTCGTTAGCCGGCGGAGGCCCAATAGTTGGCCCCAAGCAGCCTCTGCTCCTCCTAGCTGGAACACCCTGGTCAGCGCCGCTCGGGAGAGAGTACCAGTGGCCAGCTGGCACATCGTGTGGGCAGCGCGGCCACGGGAGGTGGATTTCGCCGCCCAACCCCGCTGCAGACCTCTCTCGCTCATCCTCCTCTCCTCCCACGACCCGTCGTCGCGGCTGCTCAGCTGTCGATCCCGTATGATGAGTTGGATGTCCTGCGTCCCGAGCTCCAGGTAGTCGGAAGCAGAACCGCTGCCAGCCAGGTGATCGGCTCTGTCGTTCAGTTGGACTCCGGCGTGCCCTGGGCAGTATACCCAGACGACTTGTTGAGGGAGGTCGTGCCACTCCGGAGGAGCCGATCCGCTCTCTAGTTTGCGCAGGAGAGACTGAGAGTCGGTGCAGATGATGCACGCGGCTAGATCAGGGTGGGCGCTTCTGGCAAGATCCAGACCGCGGAAGATGGCCTCCAGCCATCTTCAGCCAGGTGATCGGCTCTGTCGTTCAGTTGGACTCCTATCCTCTAATAGACTCCTAAAAAATCTAATGCCGACATTTGAATCGGGATGCTATGGGTGGGATAAATGAGCGAGAACCACTGGTGCAAAAAATCCGGGTATAATGAAGTGTTACGGAAGCCATTAGGACTTTGAGTTTATCATGGAGTGTTAATCGAGTTTATTGAGTTTATCGAGTGTCATCGTCGTGTCTAATGCGGATTTCAGCAGGTTCATCAAACATCATGCTCAACACTGCTGCAAACTGGCCCGTCCAAACCATCTCGTGGTTTCCAGTAAATGTCGGAGGACATAAGGCTCGGGGCCAGCCACCTCTCCCGGTGTCCAGTGGCGGGCCATTGTCCGTTTCGCGATTATCTAAAGACGACTCAGCTTGCGATACTCTGCTAAACACGGGGTACAGCCTGCGTGTGTGTGACAAGTGCCGACATTTGAATCGGGATGCTATGGGTGGGATAAATGAGCGAGAACCACTGGTGCAAAAAATCCGGGTATAATGAAGTGTTACGGAAGCCATTAGGACTTTGAGTTTATCATGGAGTGTTAATCGAGTTTATTGAGTTTATCGAGTGTCATCGTCGTGTCTAATGCGCGAACCTGTGTAAACGTTCAGTGTAGAAACAGACGCAGCGGCGGCGGCGGGGTCAGTCACGGCAGGATTTCAGCAGCGACGCTCGCCGCGGATTGAGCCGCACTGTTTCGGCACAGTGTGTGGATGTTGATGATGTGCCATACCACGAACAAGATTTGAGGCTGTCTGTCTTACCAGAGCCGGATGAGGGCAAGCGTGCGCTGAGCGTTGAATGTGATGATGAGTGACAGTGCTTCAATCATTTTCCGAAAGCGGTCGTGTTTCTCGGATGTCTCGGATGTCTGTCCCGCGCGAGGCGGTGGAGTGTTTTCGTGAAGTTGATAAAACGGCGGATGGAAGCGATTACTTCCTGTTACACGACCGTAGTAAAGTCATTTGTAGATTAGCGCTGGGGAGTGCGAAAGCATAACACAGCTGCGTGGTGTGTTTGGGAAAACTGAAAAGCTGTAAACAAGCCTGAGCCGCACGGTCCCATGGGTAATAATTCCATTGCCGCGGGCCGGTCGCTTTATGGCACGCAGCTGCTATTATATTTGTGACCGCCAACTGGGGCGTTCGGACCGGGGCGGCACCAAGCAGTCACGTTTGTGATACGGCTGTGCAGAGACTGAATACAACGAACGGTACACAGCTGGTTTTTGCTTTCACAACAGTTCCATCCAAAGAAGTCCGTTTCTTAAATCACACCGCTACACCCTCGCTTAACTCACTCTATCCTGTTTTATCCCCACCTCCCACCTAGCTCCACGCCACCACCTCCCATCTCCTTCCTCCCTTCCAGACACTCACCTTGTTTCTTCTCGTACCAGACCTTGACGATCTGGTCGCCGAGGCCGGCAGTGGCGAATAGTGTTCCGTCCCGAGAGAAAGCCATGTAGTGGACCGGCTCGGCGGTACGCACGCGCCACAGACACTCCCACACGTGGTCAGACGTATCTTCGGCATCCTCACCGACGGCGAACTTGACGCGCCGGGCATCGCCTGAGTGGGGCACGAAACGCACAGAATTGTGAATAATCGGGTCACTCAATGGTGGAGAATATTTGTAAAGCATGCGCGTAGCATTGTTGAGAGCCAAAAAAAAAAAAAATGGCGTTCAGAATACATTGTGTAGGATAATCATTAATCAAACACTGCAGCCTCGTTGATCAAGAGAAACTGGGAACGCTACAGACAGATATTTTCCCTCGAAATGCTAGTGTCCCCGTCATAGTTGGGACGCCCGGGTTCGGAGCCTCCTGAATAATGCAGGCGACTTACCGGGATCCTCCTGTTTGGCCTTTTTGATCCACATCTGGAGGAAGTCGCCGCCCGTCAGCAGGTGCGTGCCCTCCAGGTTCCACGACAGGTTGTGGATGGCGCAGTTGGCGCGGATCGTGTCCTGCAGCTCCCAGCGTGCCTGCAGCAACTGTCGGCAGGATAGACCATTATGTCAGCAGCAGCCAGCAGGGTAAGACACTTCCGTCACAGCGACGATTATAAGACAACTTACAAAACGCAAACGGCAGCAGCAGCCGTACGATAGAAGACAATCTCCAAATATTACCATGCAAAGAAAATTCACTCTGTCTCTAAACCCACATCCCATTCGCCCTCTCCAATCCCTGCCCCTCACTAAGGATGGTGGAAATGCAGCCTCCGTTACCTCCCCCATTCCCCCCCCCCCCCCGTTACACTCACGCTGGTGGGGATGCAGCCGCCGTGGCCGAAACCGGCGCGGTACGGTACCGGCGCGAAGATGCACACCCGGTTGCTGTAGGCGGCGGCGATCTTTCCGCAGTCGGCGCTGCAATCGACGCAGCTGATCTGCACCTGATCATAGTTGACGCCCGGGATGATCTGGACCCGGTCAAAGTTCTGGTCCATGATGACCAGGTCACAGCCGGTGGCGTACACCTGCGGGGCACGGGCCACGGGGTGCCGTGAAATGGGCATGTTAGAGGGACGGACTCGAGTCGGAAAAGATATGAGACATGCGACAGCTCGGAGACGGTGAGCGACAGTAACAAGCGGTCTGCAACGAAAAATTACATCTGAGTATCAACTTTACCAGAAAACTTTATGACAAGGGTAGCTTTACATAAAGAATGAGTCAGTTATCAGACAGCAGACAGCAGCATATCAGATATATCAGACAGCATATCAGATATCAAACAGTATATCAGACAGCAGAGACTACCACATGACAGTTACCCCGGCTTCCTCCCACCGTTGAAAAGACCAACTGTCACCAAGTTCATGTTCTCATGTACTGACCGTGAATGGGACGCCAAACACCGTGCCCACGGCGAAGCAGTCGGTGCTGGCATTGCAGGCGCCCGTGAGAATCTGGTGGCAGCGCATCCTGGCTCGATGAGGAGCTCAGGTGAGCCTCCCGATGACACAGTCACAGCTTATATCTTAGCTGAGTGAATGCCGCATTGAAAAGCCTGTGAAGAAACAATGGCCAGTTACTGTTGCAGTTCTTATATTATATCACTTTTTGCGACTTTTGCATGCCTACTGACAAGAACTAAAACAGAACTAAAATTGTAAACTGAGGTGATGTAGAACTAATCTTCAAGTTAACTTAGCATTGAGGTACCTAAATAAAGGCAGCTGTTGAGCTGTGACCACAAAATATCCTCTGATTCTCTACCCAGTGATCCAGGCTCCTAGCTTTCCAATTCACATAAGCTGAAACCTGCAAACCAATTAAACAAATGTCCCACACTGGGAATGGTATCCACTTTAATGTTACAGGAACCACAGCAAGCATACATCACAACTGTATTCATCTTTTCAGTCCTTAGTTTCACTGGTTAGGTGCTTCTATACCTGGCTCTAATATTGATTATTGGGGTCTACTTAGGGTCAGGTCTAGCAGAAACCAAGTAACCAATTGCAAAATGAATTCCCAATACACAAACATGAAGACATTGGTATACTGGATATTTTTTTCTGAACTAAAACCATGTTCAGCTTTATATCAGCCATTGCCAAGAATGTTTATTTTTCAGCACCAAAGGTTCAACAAACACAACTTGTTTTCAGTCACTGCATAGGCATTTTTTATGGGTTTCTTTTGTTTTACAGGTACCTAATCAGAAGCTTTTAGGTAAAATGTAGCCTTCAAATCATGACAGTCTTAAAAAGGTATTGTACAGTTAGTAGTTACTTAATGGGTCATGGGGATGAGTGCTACAAATGAGAGTTATCCAAAAAGCTGAGAAGGTAGGTACCTATTCTTTCTAGATGAATAATGGTGTGGCCAGTCATGATTAGTGGAAAATGACAGGTACAGTCAGTCTTAAAAGTACCCCACAACAGTGCGGTGCATCCATCAAGCCATCAAACCAAGGAAGGCCGGCCTGCTACCTATGCTATAATTTAAAAGTCACCGAACCAATTGACCTCAGGAATGGACAAGGATATCAATCGCTTCAGTGACTCAAATTTAGCAGTCCTTCCACGGTTGGGCTTGATGGATCCCCTGCACTGTTGCATGGTACTTTTAAGACTGACTTCATTGACATGCAGCTGAGGAGCTGACTTGACATGGTAACAGGGAGAAGGGACTGATCTGATGATAACATGTATGTGTGCTTTTAATTTCATAGGAAATTCCATGCTAAAAACAAAACAAAACTTAAAACAAATAAATACAATAACATTTGTACCTACCTAGGTACCTACGAGTAAGACGTTCCAAATCCCACGCAACGTGTTTAATCATACCTACCAAGCAGAACCAAGTGTTGGCAATGTTTAGGTGAAAATAAATATAGTTAAAACAAATAAAAAGCAATTTAACATCACCTAAAAATGAATTTTGTACCCTGGGGCCAGGGCCCTGGGCTATTGATACATGGAATGATTGATTGCCTTCTTTTCAGGATTCGAAATAAGTTAAAGTGTGTAGAAAAACAGGTTATAAACGATAATTGCAGCTACCGAAAATTACCTTAGCAGCACCAGAGTCACCTAAATGCAATTCACATGCCCACAAGCATATCTATTCCATAAAAATATAGAAAACAAACAAGTCCTTGGGTCATATCAATGCCAAGATCAATGCGAGTTATATGTGGACCGTGTTCATTGGCAATTTCATTTCCCGAACTTCAGCTCAAAGCTGAAATACTTGTCCAATGACATGGGAGCGATTTTGTTTCGCCTACTACCATTTGTGCATATTTGTTGTCAGCTATCGACGATTTAAAAATAGAACAAGCCACTATTGCCGCACCAAGAAATCAGCTGATAGCTGTCATCGCTGTCATTTGGCTGTCATGTCACAAGCTTCGCTGTCATGCGCTGTCATCCGTTGATGAGGTGTCATTTGCATGTCATGTGGTACTATAGAAAAAATAGATTATCTTTCTTGTATTTGTGTTTAAATTATGTACTTCAATAGCATTATCAGTGTCAAATCAGTAACCGGGTGAGGACTTCCTGCCCGATTTTAGCCGCTAAATTTGAAATTTACATGCAGACGCAACGCACCTACCAGCAGTGCCATCATTTTGTATGTTTTCTAAAGGAAGACACAGCATCAACTTGATTTTCTTATTTGATGTTACTTCTTCTTTGTGGGTTAGGGCTTATTTGATGTTACCAAATGTGCTTTTGTTTTGTCAGTTTTAAACTTTGATCATGTTACAAGGAGTTTACGAACAACAATTATAGCACTTCATACAGCAGCACTAGTGCTTGCCCAATGCCCATTCAAAATAAGCCTTGTTCTCGCAATACGGGACAAACTTTGGGAGGAGAGTTGAGGCTTCTCCACCACTTAACCCGCGCCGACGCGCCGTGCATGGTGGGCTGTGTCTTCCCTGTCGTGCTAGGGGGACCGTTTTTACGCCCCCTGTCTAACTCGGCTCCTGGGCCATGTAGCGACACACAGTAAGCGGCAATCGAAAGAGAGTAAATAATAATGCAGGAAACACTTTGGTCATTTCTTAGGTCTGGTCAAAAGTCAGTTCACTAGAGGTCTTCAAAGGTCAAATTTAGTAGGTAGGTACATTTCAACAATTTTGGAAACTGCCAATGGCTAACTTAGGAACCTATAGAGCTATAGCGCCGTGGAAAAGCACATTCGATAGCCCTTTTATAGACATTTATGAGTATTGTTCTAAGATTTGACCTCAGATCAACAGTTTAGCCTCCAGAAGGCAAAAACTTAAAAGAACTGTTTTTACGATAATGTTTTTTCAGTAGGTAATAACTCTTGACTTAAGAGAGCCATGACATTAATTTTGCCACCATTGTGTTCCTCTCGTCGAGACGCATCAAATGAACCATTCATTGACCTTGAAAGGTCATATTTAAAAGTTTGGCCTCAATTCAAGGTCATGACCTGACTGGAAAGGGTCATGTTGCATATCATTCAGTCCGTAGTATCATCGAGCTGAACACATCTGACATGTTTTCACCGATCTAGCACGTCTCTATCAAAAGTTGTAGCCAAAAAACTGCTGGTGACCGTTCATGGCCTGAGATGACCTCAGGGGCACACAGAGGGGTCACAGGTGCATTTTTTCAATTCAGTGTGACATGTTTACCAATAAACCATGTTTGAGAGGGTTTTGAACGGCATTCGTCCAAAAGAGGCTCATTTCAATTTTCTCCCTTTGACTGATAATGAAGAGATCGCAAAATTGACCTGACCTTAGGTCACAGATATAAAAAATGAGATATACATTTTATGCATACTTTTATTCTCATCAATCGCTGAAGGTTTCAAATTGATCGTTCAGTCGGTGTAGCGGTAGCGAGCCTTTGAACTTTTCTGAGGTAAGGTCCTTTGACGTGACCTGGTGACCTGACCTTGAACGGCACCGGTCTGAAATTTTTCAAAACATGTGGAAAAGATTATGAACAGGTGTTCCAAAAACGAGCGCAGCGCGCCGCCGTTTTTGAGATATTCGCGAAAAAGCCTGAGGGGGGGGGGCGTAAAAACGCCCCTTCCCCAGCATGGTGCTGGTTAACATACCTACTCTTATATTTTGCTGCTTCATTATGGACTACGAGACCTTTTATTACATGGATATTTGGTGTGTCATATTGAGGCAAACATTAAAAGAGAAGTCATAGGTATTTGAACAAACACTTTGAGAAAGTCTACATTCTACACATTTTGGCAAAGAAGTTTGAGTTTATAATGTTAACAATATTGTTAACATCTTAATCTGATGAATTGTATTGGGAAAAAACTGATAGTTTACAATGGATACCTACCAATATGACTTGTACTATTAATAAGGCCAGCATAGCTCATAAACTCACCACCCTTCTTCTCTCTGCATTGCAGGATTTGTTAAAAATGTCTTCTGTGGAAGAAAGTGCTCCAAAGCGTCGGCGATCCACCTGCCCAGCCAGTCCGGGAGCTGAGGCACTTCTGAACCTGGACAGCTCGCTGACAGACCTGTTCAACTTCTCTCCGCTGGCTGTCGCTTCCACCCCAGAGTCTGGGGCCCAGCAGCCGGTAATATCAGCGTCTCCCACATCCATCTGCAGTCCACCAGCCCAGACTGGCGCCGAGCCCAGCGCTGCTGCTCCGCTCACCTCGCCAGTGCTGTGTCGGAAGACGTCCTCGGCCTCGCGCCGGCGGCCATGCCGGGTGAGGCCGACGCCCGGCCCCGCCGGTCGCGGCGCCGCCAGCCCGCCTCCGGCCGACTTCTCTCAGGAGCCGAGTCAGCTGACTCCGCGTCCGCGCTCTGTGCCGGCCATTGAGCGACTCCGGCGGCGTCTGGCTGCCTCCAGTCAGTCGCAGTGGGGCGCCGCTTCCCCGTCTCTACCCCTCCCGTCCTACGGCGTCAGCCCGGCGCTGGTCTCACAGGTCAGCGGGGCGCCGTCCTCATGCGAAGCGGAGAGCCAGCGGCGGCGGGCGGCGCTGGTGCGGGCCGCCGAGACGGAGCTGCCGCCGTGCTCCGCCGTGGGCCCGTTCCATGGCCTCCCGTCGCTGGTGCAGACTCTACTGGCCAAGCAGCGCGGCATCACGGCGCTGTACGAGTGGCAGGAGGAGTGTCTGCGACTGCCGGCCGTGCTGAAGCGCGACAACCTCGTCTACAGCCTGCCGACCAGCGGCGGCAAGACGCTGGTGGCAGAGCTGCTCATCCTGAAGGAGGTGCTCTGCCGACATCGTGACGCTGTGCTCGTGCTGCCCTACGTGGCCATCGTCCAGGAGAAGGTGGGTGACGCTGGTGACAGGGGCACGGGGTGGTTGGGGGTAGGGATAATTGTTGGTCACTGGTATGATACTATTTTGTTTCGTTTTCCTTTTGATGAGCAGTAAATTAATATACCCGATTTATAGCAACAGTCTAAGTAATTTTAATACGCACGTTGCACGATTATCAACTAGCAAGCAGCAATATAAACTTCCGAATTTATGAGTTAACCGTGATCATTTATTTCAACGGCAGGTCCGAGCTCTAGCTCCCTTCGGCATTGCTCTGGGCTTCCTAATCGAGGAGTACGCGGGAAGTCGCGGGGCTTTCCCGCCCGTGAAACGCAGAAAACGGTGAGCAGACGCAGGGCGTGAGCATGTGTAAACCAACGATCACTTTTCTACTGTTGATCTATTGGATTTAGCGCTTCGCATAGGTACTTCGATTATTGCTGTAGCAATTTTACGTGTACTTCTGTGCAATGTGAAAGAATGTTCTTAACTGCATGCCTTGCTGGCTATTGAATAATGTTTGGAAGAGTAGCAATGTATTTGAAAACATCGTATTTGAGTTCAACTGTACAAACATACTGCCTGGTAATACGCGTCGTTGTCCCGGTCTCTCCATCTCAGCCAATGAGAATGAACACCCCGTCCCGTCGTTCCGACAGCCGTGTGGTGTACGTGTGCACGATCGAGAAGGCCAGCGGTCTAGTGAGCAGTCTGCTGGAGGCCGACCGGATCTCGGAGCTCGGTCTGGTCGTGGTCGACGAGGTCCATATGCTGGGAGAGTCGGGAGGACGCGGAGCCACCCTGGAGATACTCATCACCAAACTGAAGGCGGCAGCGCGTGAGTGGACTCGGAACGGGGGAGAGAGAGAGGACTGGAGTGCTGAGAGAGTGGGTGGGGATGCGTGGGCTGAAACAGTGATTGTACGTTTGGGTATTTGTCAGTCTGGGACCACATTTATTATTATCTTGGCGTGCGATACTGTTGGCAAATGATCAATAAAATCGATGTAATTATCGTTCAATGCATGCATCATCATGGCGTGAGTGGGCGCTCGCCCCCCCCCCTCCCCACCCCACCACCACCACATGTACCCTCTCATTTTACCCAGGATTACTCTTTAACCCCCACCGTCTTTCCTGCACAGCGGAGGCGCACCTGGTCGGGATGAGCGCCACCATTGGCAACATGGACGACCTGGCCGCCTTCCTCGAGGCACAGGTGTACCAGGGCCAGTTTCGGCCCGTCCAGCTGCGTGAGCACGTGCTGCTCGACGGTCAGCTGCTGGAGGTGACCGGACCGGCGCCCAAGGCGCCCCCGCTCGACGCGGACGACTGGCGGGCGCTGCTGACGCCACGACGCACGCCGCTGTTCCAGGTGAGGGCGTTGCAAATATTTTTCGATGTCGTTGGTCGCGTCCATGCAACTAACCGTCCCATCTTGTCCCAGTATAAATATATAAATTGACAAGTGTTGCTGAGCGTATAGGAAGGCCTTAAATTAATTATTGTTCATTTGTTTTAAACTAAGACTAAAGCTAATGTTTAAAAATTGAGGTTTTTTGCCCGACGTTTCGCGTTTATTGCTTATTCATGGGCTAATGCTAAAACATAATTTCGTCGACATACATATCAAAAATTCAAATAACATCATTGACAGCACGCTTCACTATAAACATTGTCTTTCGCTAAAAGATATCGTATCCGTTCGATCGATCGATTGCGTTCCTTCGTATACATACGTCCATGCATCCGTTCATATCTATCGCATGTCTTTGATCTGGGATGCTATAATATCATGTAGTTTGAAGAAGCCTGGCGATACGTTTATCACTTTTTCTGTGGAAATGTAAGCGGCCTCTATCAGCCACCGACGTGTTTTCGTTAAACCTGTGTGTATGGCCTG